TCAGTTTTCTTTATGACGGTGGCTGTAATGCATCACATTTTCTTGAGCTATGTTGGCAACAAGCTTCTTTGTGCTGTGAGAATAAAAACTACCACATCCATTACATAATATGCCAGCCTAATTTACTCAAACACAATCAGGCTATGAACTGGAGTAATCTTGTGCTTCTGTGTGCACTTCTGCCCTACACAATGAACGAAGTGTGCTGTAAGAAACAGTCACGGGAGGCTCTGTGAACAGACTACGCTCCCACGCTTTTTGGGTTGCTATGAATCAAACTAAATATTACTCCTAACAACCAACCCACCCAGGAGTGGAGTGCACCTCCTAACCATCAATAAAATACTGCAGAGACTAGGGTATAACTCTCATAACTCACAAGTATGATGGATTTAACTTCAGAGCTAATACTTTCCTCCACAAAACTAAACCTATTACATTCCTGTGCCTTGCTTTTATCTTTACCACTATCATGCTTTGACAATGTCTAATGATGTAAGCTACAAATCAGCTTGATGTCAGTGAAAGTATTCAAGAGAAAAAAATAATAATATGTATTTTAGTTTGTGCTGAAACAATAGGAGTAGAGGTGAAAGTATAGCATTTACGATCAATTTAAACTAGGTAGAGGACCTCTTCCATCTGCAGTGGGTGGATGTCCATTGACTCCTCCACAATGTAACTACTGTACGACTCACATTTGGGATAACTATAGTATTTCCACAGAAGTTAATCTATTTTCAAGCCACACATCCTATTAATGTTTATTATGTACTTGACTTCCATGTATGAGAGTTGGGAGGGCCAATCAGTGATCAACTTAGTTCACGTCAAATAAATCAATGCTAAATGTACTTGACAAACATACACTGTACTCATAATCTCTCTTGTTCAGATACTGCTGAATGAGGAGTAAAAAAAAAGGTATGACAGAAAATGCTCAAAAACTGTGACACATTTGTAGGTATGGCCGGGGCTGCCGTTGATTGGTTCTATGCCTGCACTGTTTTCACATCTGGTCCGCAAACAGTGACCCAGTGGTTTTGGGAGGGATGGAACGAGGAAGGATGGAGTAGGAACCCTGCCACAGACTCATCCGTTTGGACAGTGGTTTTGGAAGCGCCTTCCGGCGGCCCCTCCCGTCTCTCCATGCCCACACAGCAGAGTCAACAGGCACAACTCATGACCTAACATCTGTAGTTATGCAACACATTTACATTTTAGTCATTTAGCAGACGCTCTTATCCAGAGCGACTTACAGGAGCAATTAGGGTTAAGTGCCTTGCTCAAGGGCACAGACAGATTTTTCACCTAGTCGGCTCGGGGATTAGAACCAGCGAACTTTCGGTTACTGGCACAATGCTCTTAACCACTAAGCTACCTGCTGCCCCCGGGTGCCAAGAGGTCCATATGGACAGTCCACATGTCAGAGCGAGCCCTGAACCAAAAGTGTGTCCTGAAAAGTGAGATTGAAGAGAGAGCGAGTGAAAGGGAGTTAGTTAGATCAAAAGTGTGTGGACACCTGCTCATCGAACATCTCATTCCAAAATTATGGCCATTAATATGGAGTTGGTCCCCCCCTTTACTGCTATAACAGCATCCACTCCTCTGGGAAGGCTTTCCACTAGATGTTGGCACATTGCTGCGGGGACTTGCTTCCATTCAGCCACAAGAGCATTAGTGAGGTCGGGCCCTGATGTTGGGCGATTAGGCCTGGCTCCAGAGTCCAATGGCGGAGTGCTTTACACCACTCCAGCCAACACTTGGCATTGCGCATGGTGATCTTAGGCTTGTGTGGCTGCTCGGCCCTGGAAACCCATTTCATGAAGCTCCCGACCATGTTGCTTCCAGAGGCAGTTTGGAACCCTGGCTCATAGTTCGTAACAAAGGAAGACCACGCATGATCTAAATTTATAAAGGAATACATTTATTAAACTAAATGATAATAAAAACAAAAATGTAACATAAGTTGTAGACGTCTGTAGGATCAGTAGTGTATGCAGTGTGTGGCTGAGTGGAGACGGTGTTGTATGGTGAAATCAAACCAAAAAAACAAAAGGTGGGGGAAGCCAGCCTGCCAGTCAGGGAAGAGCGAGAGTGTTTGCTGATGTGGCCACCCTTTATAGCCTGCCCAGGTGCGCCACATCAGCTGACGATCCTCCCAGCTCTTCCCACTGGCCTCCTGCAACAAGCAGTACCAAACAGGAGATCCCAGCAGACAGAGTGGGAGAGACGTCACCCCTCCTCCCACCCCGGTCCCTTAAAAACCTCTTAAGGATCAGACCCTTTTTTTCAATTTTCACCTAAAATGACATACCCAAATCTAACTGCATGTAGCTCAGGACCTGAATCAAGGATATGCATATTCTTGATACCATTTGAAAGGAAACACTTTGAAGTTTGTGGAAATGTTAAATTAATGTAGGAGAAAATAACACATTAGATCCGGTAAAAGATAATACAAACAAAAAATGCATTTTCTTTTTTCTCCATCATCTTTGAAATGCAAGAGAAAGGCCACAATATAATATTGCAATTTAGATTTTGGCCACTAGATGGGAGTAGTTTGTGTGCAAAGTTTCAGATTGATCCAGTGAAGCATTGCAATACTGGACTATTTTGTATCAAGTCTGGCCAAATGTGCCGAATTAGTCAATTGATACATTTTCAAGTACATAACTATATGATTTGGTAATGCAAAATGTATGTTTACACACTCCCAGGAATGTCATACATGATGAATCATTAGCTTATACACTAACTTTCTCACATCTAATTTAGATGGCTGGGCGGGTGTGGAGCCAGAGACAGCAGGGGTTCAAACTGTAGAACCCAGTTCCTACATTTGAATATAAAAATGGATTTTATCAAACAAAACTATGCTACATTTTATCTCTGAGACCCTTAGGATGACAAATCAGAGCAAGATTACTGAATGTAAGTACATTATTTAACTTCAGAGGTGAATGTATCAAACCAGTTGCTGTGATACATTTGTTGTTGTGCACTCTCCTCAAACAATAGCATGGTATGTTTTCACTGTAATAGCTACTGTAAATTGGACAGTGCAGTTAGATTAACAAGCATTTAAGCTTTCTGCCCATATAAGACATGTCTATGTCCTGGAAGTTCTGTTACTTACAAGTCATGCTAATCACATTAGCTCAACTGTCCTGTATACGGGACACCGATCCCGTAGAGGTTAAGAACAGGTTTCAACCACAACCCTGAAATGAAAAACAAAACAGAAACCAAAACACAAAAGAACAAATGCCTTATTGCGCCACTTTTTACTAAACAGAAATAAATACAAAATAAAACACCTATACCCCCTGACCCACCTCTGCCGTCCAGGCTGCCCCTCACTCTCCCACCTCTGCCGTCCAGGCTGCCCCTCACTCTCCCACCTCAGCAACCACGGATCCTAAGGAGCACTTAGAGGGAAGAGGGAAAGAAAGAGCGACAGAACCGGGTAAGCAAGAGGGAGACAGTAGAGGACAAGCAAGTTATCCAAAACAATAACAAAAACATGGGGGCGCGGGACAAGGACTTTGTGCAACAGCTTCAACTTTGGCATGCACTGGGCGAACCACACCCTGACCGATCACTTTGCCCAGATAAGTGACCACTGCCCTAGCAAACCCACATTTGGCCAGATTAACTGTCAAACGCACCCAAGCCAACCTATCAAACAGTGCTTGTATACGTTGGACATACTGAGACCAGGTGTCACTATAAATGACCACGTCATCCAAGTACACCGCACATCCGTCCAGACAACACTGTTCATGAGGCGCTGGAATGTTGCAGGTGCGTTACGCAAACCAAAAGTCATAATGGTATAAGAATACAGTCCAGAAGTTGTGATGAAAGCACACATCTCCCTTGCTCTAGGAGACAAAGACCTGCCAATACCCTTTAAGATCGAACTTGCTCACAATTTTGAAGAACCCACTTGATCAACACAATCCTCCATACGAGGAAGAGAAAAGGAATCCCCAACACTTCTGAATTTTTCAAACGACCTTGCAAAACACCATCAGGCGCTTAACTCCTCATACAAAGTATGAGGCGAAAAGGAGTCTAGGGCAACTGAGAATGCAGAAAGGGCAGAACTAACTAAGTGAACTATCACCTGATTTAACAGGAGTTGATGCTGATGAACGAGAGTAGTAAGGTTTCAACAAATTCACATGAAAACATTGAGTGGCATTCCTGCGCTTAGGAGTTGCAATCAGTTCTGTTCAGACACTTTGCACACCACCGTGAAAGGACCAGTGAACTTAGCCTGAAAAGGAGAACCTACAATTGATAAACCGAGCTAAAACCTGATCACCAGGGTTAAATTGTCAACGTTCAGTCTGACGGTCATAAATACGCTTCATCTTTACTTGTGCACTTTCCAGTTTCTCGATTGCCATTTCACCAGCTGAGAACAGTCTATTACGAAAACCATTGACATAAGTACATTTAGTGGTGGCTCTACTGTTCCCCAGCTGTCCGGCAACACAGCCAGAGGTCCACGCACTGAATGTCCAAAAACCAGATCATTTGGACTAAATTCTACACTCTCCTGGACAACTTCTCTAGCTACCAACAGTAACCATGGCAAACCTTCTTCCCAATCACGATCTAGCTCTGTACAGTTTGCACGCAGGAGAGACTTCTGGGTTTGATGAAAACGCTCTAACTCACCCTGAGACTGTGCATGATAGGCAGAGGACTGGTTATGCTTAACACGAAGCTGCTGTAGCACTTGTGCGAGGTAAAATTAGAGCCTTGGTCACTCTGAATGACCAAATACAGAGATGAACTGAGAAAGCCTTCACAACAGACTTAGTTATTGATGCGAGAAGGAGGCGATGATTGGCAGAACATACTTTGTATTTTCTTTTGGATGCAGGTCTTGAATCACTGACACTCCCTATACATCAGAGGAGTAGCCTTGCACTCATTTTCAGCTGTTCGGGGTTCCCCGTGTCCCCACCTTAAGCTTTGGAATGGGAAGTCATTTCCGCAGCTACATCTGGGACCCGGTCCTCATCTTGTCCCAGATTGTGTTGATGCAATGCATTTACTACAGCTTTCTGGGTCTGTGGCTGGCTGGAGTCGACAGTCTCGTACAAACCAACAGATCGCTGGACCAGATCTTCAGTTATGAGGTTCTTGGTTTTGCAACAATGCAGGGCAGACTCTCAATGATGGCATTCATCTTGAACTCGCTTACCAGTGCCCTGGGCCTGTGGTTCTTCATCCGTCGAGGGAAGCAGTGTCTGGACTTCACCATCACTGTGCACTTCTTCCACATGATAGGCTGTTGGATCTACAACACCCACCTCCCGGCGGCCTTGTCCTGGTGGCTGGTCAACGTGGCCTGCATGGCTCTGATGGCCGTGATTGGAGAGTACCTGTGCATGCAGACTGAGCTCAGGGCCATCCCAGTCAACAGTGGACCTAAGTCTAACCTCTGACCTGACCCCACTCTGGCTTACTCCCTGTGAACTGTTCACCTACAGTTATCTGTCCAGTATGATGTGGGGTATGACATTTGTGCCCCAAAGACTTGGTGGGACTGCGTAACATAGTAGTTGTATCTAGAGACAGAGATGCTTAGAGTTGGAAGATTGCACACCTCTCAATGGATTCAAGGACTTGGAGATGGACTGAAGTGGTTCTGGTTGCTGCATTTATTTGTAAAGATGTACTACACATCTAACAGTGAATGCTAACTTCTTCCTTGACCCACTGACTAAGATACCACTTTCTTTGAGACAGTTTGAAGCAGAGTTTAGTATAAAGTGTTACAAAGATATGAATGGTTTCATAATTGTATTAAATTATGATATTATCACATGATGAATGTAGAGAAGTGGTTGTATGAAAATGTATGCACTCACTAACTGTAAGTCGCTCTGGATAAGAGCATCTGCTAAATGACTAAAATGTAAATGTAAATAAGCAGCAGGGTACCTGGTTGCTTGGCACATCACTGTAAGCAAATAGCTACTGCCAGACTTAGAGCTGGGAAAAGGACCAACACAGTCAATGATCAAATGTTCAAAAGGCTGACCAACAGCAGGAATAGGATACAGAGGAGCAGGTTTAATTGACTGATTTGGCTTACCAGTCACATTATCATGGCCGGTTTGAAGCACTATCTGGCAAAACTTAGAGGGCACTACAATCTGCATGATAGGATCACCTGCAAAGTTTTCCCCATGAGGCACCCACCTGCGAACTAGCATACTGTTTTGAAGAGAGTAACCTTGTGCAGAGCTTTCTATCCCATCAGCTGGCAACGCTGTCAAACAGCTCCTTCAAAAGAGGGGTCATCCTGCTGTTCCTTCACCAAGTCATCACGAGAAACAGACAGATGCTCAGGCAAAGGAGTCAAGTGGTTCTGTAACAGACAGAATTTTGTTCAGTTACTGACACCTCCCGGCTCATGGCACTGCACAGATAACTGGACCATCTGGGGAGTTATGACTCCTCAGGAGCAGGGAGAACAGGGGTTTGACTCCTCAGGAGCAGGGAGAACAGGGGTTTGCTGTGTAACCACAAGGTGGTGGCACCCCAGCCCTGTACACCGGCTAACTGGTTACCCAGAATGAGATCAATACCCTCAACTGGTAGATGAGGACGCACCACAAAACAAACCTTTCACAAGATCTGAGTCAAGTTGCAATGTATGCACAGGAACAGGAAAAATGAACAACCCCATCCCACAAATGAGTATAGAATCACCTGTATCTGACTCAGAAGAGAAAGGCAATACAGATTCACAAACAAATTATTCCACAGAGCCTGTGTCTCGCAATATTTTGACTGGCACTTTCTCATCCCATCCTACCAGGGAGATATAACCCTCAAATGTACGCAGCATAGTCAGAAGCACTGGCTTTTTCAAAAGGTTCTGCATTCTTCTCAAGCTTTAAATAAAGTACACACTAAGTGACATAGCTAGGCCAGAAAACTGTACTTTTGAGTTGTCACCAGAATTTTTTGCTTTTGCTTTAAGGACAGGACATTCCTTTTCCAGTGTCCCTTACCTTGACAGGAGTTACAAACTCTGTTCAGATCATTTCTACCTAGTACGCCACGATCAACCTTAGGAAGACATTGATCTGTTCCCAACCGTAACTTTTGGCGAGGGGAGAAGTACTCTTTACCGGCAGTTTCAGTATGACTACCAAGATCCATAACAAAGCGTTTATGGCTCAGGACATACTCATCTGATAGAACTGCTGCCTCACTAGGAGTTTTCACCTTGTGCTCACTAATATAAAAAAGTTGCAACACGCCCTGGTACAGAATACTTAAATTGCTCAAGTACCACCAGATCAGACAATTCCTCCAAATCTACCTACCTCTGAGGCAGAGCACCAATGATTAAACAGACACTAAACGCTGCCTATAAGCCTTTTCCCAATTCGTAGGCTTTTAACACTGCCATTTTCACTGTTTCATACACCTGACTCTCAGCTAAACTTAAGCTCAAGAGGCCTATTCAGCATTACCAGTTAACACACTGTAGCAGTAAATTACTATCTGCATCAGACCAGATTCTGCTACTCGTCAAACAAAGAGAAACATTTCTCGGCCCTTTTCATTAAACTTAGAAAGTAAACGCAGATTTCTATCAATGTCCTCAGGTGGACAGGTTGTTACTGGTGAAACTCGTCTAAACTTACCCTCTCTGATTAGTCTAATTTATACTGTTCCATCTGTAATTTTGCCAACTCAGTTGGTTTAATCTGCTCTTTTTCTAGTTGTAGCATTAACAACTCTGTTGCGCAAAACGCAAACCAGCAACACCTAGTGACGCAACTGGAGTAACAAAATGTGGCTCTCAAACAGTTAGGATTCCCTCAACTAGTTCGGCCTTTAGACTGGCCTTCATGTCTTTCAATTGCTTACGATCCAATTCAATATTGTAGTACTCAGCAATCTGTGCAATCTGCTCTTTAGCGCACTGCTCCAAAAGTGCTTCAGACGGGCACTCAAACTTGTCTACATTACTAGCCATGATAAACGCAACTACATTACCAATTTAGACTGAGACAAAAGCCTACACAAGTGTTGGTATATAGTGTACACTGATAATGTGAAGGACAACCAACTCAAAATGGAACCTCAGCCCTACTCTAACTAATACACCTATCTAATCTCAACCCTAGTCTTTGTGCAGATACTGGCAGCGGGTATTTATGCAGTGGTTCCATCAGAAACAGAAAGGCAACCGGAAATCCAGTGACTGATCTGAATCCAAGGAAGTGCTCCCGAGGCAATTTATCACAAATTGGCTCTACCCTCGGTCTCCACCACACCAGAGAGAAAACAAATTGGTCACTGAAACCTACAAGGGGATATGTGGTTCCTACCAACTGAAGTGGCTATCCTTACCAAATCAATGTAACATGTACCAGCACCTAAACCCCTAATGATTAGGAAATAGGCACAAACAAATGGCTTTGTAGACCAACACACAGGAGACAAAAGCTGCTTCCCTTCCAGAATCCACCCCCCCAAAAAACCTCAAGCTTACACAATTAAGGAAAAACCCTGAAAAAAATAATGCGCAATACTCCCAAACTTTGGCTTTAACAAAGACTGCCAAACAAATAGTACTACATTGCACTCTAAGAACTGTAGCAACACAACTGAACCCAATTTGGCACCAATTACTACCCCTACACGGTGCTCCAAGCTAACCATGCACAAAACAGGGAGTCCAAACCAAATGCCAACCAAACAAAACAGCCAAATTTACAAATAGCATACCAAAACTACCATATAACCAAACTCTCCAATTGGACGAGCTCCCACTGTGTTACGACCTGGCTCACAGTTCATAACAACAAAGGGAGACCACGCATGATTTAAATGTAAAAAGGAATACATTTATTAAACTAAATATAAAAATTTAACATACAGCTATAGGACCAGTAGTGTGTGCAGCAGGTGTTGTACGACGGGAATGGGAGGAGAAAAAAAAAAAGGTGGTGGACACCAATCAAGGAAAAGATAGAGTGTTGGCTGATGTGGCCACCATTTATAGCCTGCAGGCCAAGCCTGCCCAGGTGTGCCACATCAGCTGACGATCCTCCCAGCTCTGCCCACTGGGCTCCTGTAACAAGCGGACTACCAAACAGGAGCTCCCAGCAGACAGAGTGGGAGGGACGTCACAGTAGTGAGTGTTGCAACCGAGGACAGATTATTTTTACACGCTTCAGCCACTTGGCACCTGAGCCGTTGTTGCTCCTAGACATCTCCACTTCACAATAATAATAAATACTATATATGAATACAATTGTAAAAGTTATTTAAGTATAAATTACCAAAGTTACGATAGATTGCCATAGACTTTCTGTTAATTACCAAAATTACTGAAGATCCCAGTAACTTTGGTAAATTATCAGTAGGGTCAATATCACCATAAGGTGCCTTTGAGACTTCCCCATTTCCCCCCAAAAAAGCTGAGATTTTCCATTGAACTTCATATTAATTGTATTAAGTATATGTTATGCTGTTAGAAATGCATATTGGTCAAGCTCCCACACTTTTTATAAATTAACTGCAAGCAGACAATTTACATGCAAACAGCAAAATATGTCCACCCTGTCATGGACAATTTCAAAGCAGAATAAATACATTGTAATTACATAGTGATTATAAAACGTACATTTTCAGAAAACTATTTAGTCACTTTCTCAACAATATATTTTAGTTTATGGGAAAAGTATTTGGATAATAATGAAATTATGGCAAACTATTTGTTTCTCTATAAAATCTGCGAGAGTTGCACTTTCTTTTCTAAATAAAATCTAACAAAAAAGATATCTGGTCAAACTTTCAAACAATACTATTTGGCCCTCATTTGTTTATAAAGGAATCACACAAAAGATTTTGCTAACTTGTGAAAATAATTTGTTTATTTTCATAGAACATGAAAATAACAGGGTGGACAGTGACATGACAGGGTGGACCCTGGGCATGACAGGGTGGACGCGTTGTGAAATGTCATTGAATGGCCTCATAAATGCAAGGAACAATGCAAGAAAATGATGTAAAAAATGCCTTTTCCCATGTAGGGGGAAATTACAAGTTGAACAGACTGTTTTTGATCCACTCTACCTGCATGCAGCCACTGAATAAAGATGCCCAAAATGAGACATTAATGTGGCCTTCTAGCGTTAAACTCTGTACATCATTCTGCACAGTGAAAGTCAAACATTCAACTGTAGAACAAGAAGAAAAATGTTTTTTAAGTGGAGAACAGTTGATTTGAAAAAACAGAATATTACAGAAATATCACTTGGACGCATCTCCAAACAGTCTCTCCCTTTCTGCAGAGACATGGCTCAGTTCTGCAGTTGCTGTTCCACATACTTCCATGCAGACACTTCAATCTGTACAGAGCGCTTGTTCAGAGCCTGTGGTTCTGGTATTAGGCAAAGTACCTGCCAGTCATGGTACCAACAGATGTCGTCCCGAAGACTTGGCCATTTGAACTTGTTTATGCCATGGCGTTGCATACACTTCACTTTCACACTGTGCCCTTCTGCATCCATGATGATACCTGGGTATGCTTCATTGTCATAATTAACGACGCACCACTCTCCAATGTGCTTTACCTCAATCATTTCTGGTCTCCTAGGATTATCTGGTGTCTTTCTACATGCTGGGGACTTGTCAGATGAAACAGGAACATTAGCTAGAGTGACCTCTTGAAGGTTAAAGCAGGGGCAGTCCAAAACACCTTCCTCCCTTTTACACAGACATGAAATGTCTCTGTATTTCATTTGGCCGGGTGTCAGACTGATAGCTTGGTGGATTGGACTGGCCCTGTTTCTGGCTCTGGCTTGACTTTTTGCCTCTCTCCATTTCTTTCTTTTTGCCCTCTTCTCTCTCTCACTGAGCTCATTGACACCCTTCTTCTTTCCAGTCTCTCTGTCTTTTTTCCATTTGACCCTTTCTTTCTCAAGGTACTTTCTTCTTCTGTCTGGGTCAGCATCACGACGTTCCCGATATCTCCTTGCTATCTCAGCTCCTTTTGATCTCATTCCTTGAAAAAGACGATTCAAAATGTTCCCTTACACACTTTAATTGGCAGTCCCGGTAAACTAGGCTTGCATTATCAAACTAGGTTTGCTGATACCGATATCGCCAAAAAAATTGTCCATACTGTCCATTCTTACTATGTATAGCATGTACTGTTATAAAATGTGTGTAATAGCTGTTGTAATATGTGTAACATTATCAGTATGTGGCCTAAACTATGCACATGTCCTTCCTGTCATGAACCATGTCCACCCTGTCATGGAAGGCTTGCTGACAGGGTGGACAATGACAGGGTGGACATTTTTGGCTAATGTTAGCATTTAATGAGCACATGGTGGACCTTCACTTAGCAACATACTACAGTTAGCAAGCTGACTGTGTACTGTTTTACAAATATATTTCAAAGTTCTGATAGGTTTTTCTATCAATTGATATTTCACTATGACAGAGTGGACATGTTAAGCTTGACAACATCCAACTACACACATAATATGATGAAAATTATGAAGCATAAGTGTAAATACTTACTCTGCAACTAGACACTGCTTCAGCCTTCATTGAAGAAAGACAAAATGCTCGTAGTGATGTCACTGAAAACATCAGTGGGTTTCTTAAAGGGGCAGTTACCCCATAATGACAGGGTGGACAGCAATTTCAGGGACACATGCAAAATGTTCAATATGATTATGAAAATACTATATACATGATCAAAATTACTTGTTTTATCAAATAACTTATTGTGGACAGTAAAACCATGTAAAACATTTTTTGATTTAGTATCATTTAACCACTTATTACACACACTATAGTTAGCAGAGCAGTGTGTGGGACATGCCAAAATCACGTACATCCAATGAAAAAATTTTAATAAAATGAAGGAAACACTTTTTTAGAGACTTATCATTCTACTGATATGTGTGCAAAAGTTTGGCCACTTATAATAAGACCTCAGACTTTCATTATTCTGCTACATTTTCATGATGACTGAGTGAGTCTGATGAGGACACCAAAGGCACCTCATAGTGATATTGACTCAGTAGCTTTGCAACCCTAACCGTGAATCAAGAGGTTGTGAGTTCAAGTCCCAGGTGTGTAAATGTTGAATAATAATTACTGTATAAATTAACATGCACAATGTAATCATCTACATCAAAGTGTGTCAAATATATACATTGAAAACACTGTAATCACTGTGTGTGAATATCCCTAACCTTGTCAACAGACAACGAGCGAAGAATGGATCAATGGTTCACCAATCAAGGCCTTGATTGGCTCTGCAACAGTAACAAGGCATGGGACCATCAGGCGACGTCCTGACAACTGATACACAGAAATGTTCCTGCAACATTCCCATGAAAGTGTCTAGAACATCAATATCTTATATTCTAAGAACATGGCAACCATGTTCTGTGTATGTTTAGTGTGATGTTAATCTCTCGTGGACAGATTCCCGTGTAAACAGGAAGTGACAACTTTCGTGAGAATTTTACTTCTGGGTAACCAAGATTAGTGTGATGTTGATGGTATATTCTCCTAACCCACAGAACACTGGAAACACAAATGTTCTTGCAACGTTACCATAAAACTTGCCTAGAACATTGATATATTATATTCTGAGAACATGGCAACCATGTTCTGTGTATGTTTGGTGGGATGTTGATGGAATATTCTCCTAACCCACAGAAAACTGGACAAATTAATGTTCTTGCAATGTTCCCATGAAACATGTCTACAACAATATCTTAATTTCTGAGAAAATGGTACCCACGTTTTGGGTAAGTTCTATTTGACATTTAGGGAATGGTCTCTTGGAAACAATCCTTGCATATCACAGGAACATTCCTATGAAAACAGTTCACTAAAGTTGTGGGAACGTTTGTTGTTAGCTGGGTAGGGGAGTTCTGCAAACTGCTGCGAAACTGGCATATTCAGGACTTCCCAGAGAGCCACGAATTAAATAGCCGATTTATAGGGTATGACTTTTTGGGAGCAAATATCTAGGTTATTGCTCTAATTATGGATGTTAGTTAAATTGCCCCGATGACGCAGGATGTCTCATCTTTGAGACTGCCTCGGTTTCCATGCTCGTTTCCATGCACCGCCTTCTAACAACATGGCGCCAGTTTACAGCTGTGCTGGCTTCCAAAGGGATGTGAAAAACCGCGCGGTAAGAGAAAAATATGATTATTGAAAGTAACAGTTAACTACAAAAATTATACCGGTACCGTAGTTCTTATAAATAATACTTGTGCTCTTTTCATGTAAAATTCAGGAGTTTGCGTGCAGCAACAGTTTATTAGTGACAGGTTGCGCATGAGCCCACCTGCGAGTGAAACTGTGACGACGGTGGACCAATATGATGAATCTCCTGAACCTGACAATATAGTGGACGATATAATTTGATAGAGACCGACAATATTATGTCTATTCTTCGACAGCGAGGTAACGCGTAAACGTCTCCGTAGACTCATTGTAGTGCAATAAATAACTTTCTCTTTCAAGATTGAAAAAGCTCACTCTATAATGAATGAAGAGAATTATGCGCAATCGGAGGTTGAAAGGGAAAAGCTCCCTCCAATATTCAATACGTCACCAGTTATGGTAAGTGCAAAATTGTTTACATTCAATCCGAAAATGCTTACAACTTGTTACTCTAAAAATGTGTTAATTATTTGAGCTCTTTTCTGTAATGGTTTTTCTTACACAATATTTCCTTTATTCAACTTCATCCTAAATACATTCCTAAACTGGCCCAGTCAAACAATGTGCAGTATTTATTTTGCAGCATGGGCTACTATTATGATGAGTTATTGTCAGCATCCCTACTATAAATGCCATTATCCTATGGAACAAGATGCTAAGTGAATTAATTCTCAAAGTAAGTGGACTCAAAGACTTAAAGTATCAGAATAGGACCTATACCAATAATCCACACAGTTTGGTGAACCAGGATATTTGTCATTGGAAAAAGCATTGACATTTTGTTCCCCAACAGTCCCCCACAAAAGAGGAACATTGGAAGAGTCTTTAAAGGGTTTTGGGAATAATAAATGAATTGATTCTTGAAGAATATAACTTATAAATTCCTCATGAGCTTAGTTCAACTGTCGTACCCCATCAGAACCCAAAATATAAGCTTGTTTTACTCCAATGTTTGTAAACGTGAACAAACAAATGCTTGAAACTATAATTGTAATATATTGGATGGTCCTTGCATCAAAAGCTTTGTCTATTAATTTAAGAGTGGTTAGATTTCTCCAGGCCAATCCCTCAGCTTTTTACCGTACAGAGGAGGGTGTGCCCGCTTGTTATTGTTTTGACTGTGGATTGCCCCTTTAACTATCCAATATGGAACCCATCATTTTTCATACTAATGTAGGCCTAATGTCTGGAAATGTCATATTGCTGCTTCTCGCTCTCTTGCTCTCTCTCTTTCTTTCTCTCTCACCCACTCACACACACACACACACTAACACACACACATTCCCACCAACACACTCATCACACGGTAGCATCATTGCGGTGATCTAGATAGTATACGTCCTGGAAGAGATTTAGGAGTGAGGCAGACTTTTCCACAGACACAGACGGTTATTCTCTCATAAAGTGCTCCATTTTGGCACGGCCACGAAGAACAGAATAGAAGGACAAGAGTGGACGAGGAGGGAGGGGGGATGGAGGAGAAGAGGAAGGAGGAGAGTGAAGTAGCCCTGTTTTGATCCAGAAGTTAGGGTTGTAATATAATTTAGAACAATTCTGTAATTCAGAGGAGAGGCGCCACACCAAGAACACACACACACACACTGTAAGTCTGGCCTGGCCCTGTGTGTCATTACACATGATGCTGAACACAGCAACTGCCTTGTGTCTCACCTCACTATAAAGAACACATTATTCCTGTTTTTCCTCCGTAAACAAAAACATTATTAGATCCTCTGAGTCCGCTTGGGAAGGAGATGTTTAACTCATTTTTTAAATACCAAATGCACACTTAAAGCAAACTAATAAAGTCTAAACAAACTAAGTAGTTTTTCGAACGTATGGAAATTTCAACCCAAAAGTTATAGGCTAGAGGTATTTATGATTATTAATGTTGTTAGGAGAAAAATGTGACCTTATTATGAGCAATAGGAAAACTACAGCTCTAAAATCAACTGAAAGGTTTGTGTGTGTCTACTGTATGTGTGGTGTGCATACGCGTACTGTTCTTTTCACTATGTTTTCTTTTAAGAGCAGGTCCAGTGTAGCTCAGTTGGTAGAGCATGGTGCTTCCAGCACCAGGGTTGTGAGTTCAAGTCCCACAGGGGACCAGAACGAAAGAAATGTAAGCACTCAGTACTGTATGTCTCTCTGGATAAGAGCGTCTGCTAAATGACTCAAATGTAAATTTACTCTTCTTTTAGAGCATTTTAATATGAGAGAGGGAGACTGAGAGATAATACACACTGGGTGTACCTCTGTGTGGCAGCCTCTTTTTGTATGTTAATGGAGTGTGCTGTTTGGAGATATTGTTCCTGTCTTTGTCACAGATGAAGAGTTTGTTTGATCTGCCCTTTTGTACACATGGCGGTTGAATAGAATCCATTGCATCAAATTAGACAATGGGCTAAGGGGGAGGAGATATATTTTATCCCTCTGAAATGTAGCATCCACCATATTCCACCGGGTGCAGTTTTTTTAATAGATGTCAGTTTGATTAGCACAACAAACTGAAATGTGTTTTTGAAATTGCGCTAAACAAGAACATGATGAATTGTTTTTACAATATGACATTGGAGACAATATTACTGTCTGTATCAGAGTAACTCCATGTGCAGTGCTAAGTGCATAATCAGGGAAGATTTTTATGGATGTAATTCTAATCTCCGTGATGTCATTAGGATTGTCTGGACTAGAGAAGCCCCTCTCTCTCTCCCTCTCTCCATGTCATCTGTAAGGCATATGTCTTCTCTCTCTCCTCTTCGTTCGGTGGAGTGTTTTTTAAGGTGTCAGGACCTGCTGCTGTGCACATGCTGTTAGTTGGCCCTCCTCTTTCTCATCCTATCCACTGCACTCAGTTCATACCTCCCACCCTGTCTGCTCTCTGCTGCTAGGAGACCTCATCTTGCTATCTGGGCTACAAGAACAGTTGGCTGTAGGCATTGGTGAGAGCAGCAGCAAGCTACAGGAAATTGACATCATACTGTATATAAACTGCTCAAAAAAATTAAGGGAACACTAAAATAACACATCCTAGATCTGAATGAATGAAATAATCTTATTAAATACTTTTTTCTTTACATAGTTGAATGTGCTGACAACAAAATCACACACAAATTATCAATGGAAATCAAATTTATCAACCCATGGAGGTCTGGATTTGGAGTCACCCTCAAAATTAAAGTGGAAAACCACACTACAGGCTGATCCAACTTTGATGTAATGTCCTTAAAACAAGTCAAAATGATGCTCAGTAGTGTGTGTGGCCTCCACGTGCCTGTATGACCTCCCTACAACGCCTGGGCATGCTCCTGATGAGGTGGCGGATGGTCTCCTGAGGGATCTCCTCCCAGACCTGGACTAAAGCATCCGCCAACTCCTGGACAGTCTGTGGTGCAACGTGGCGTTGGTGGATGGAGCGAGACATGATGTCCCAGATGTGCTCAATTGGATTCAGGTCTGGGGAACAGGCGGGCCAGTCCATAGCATCAATGCCTTCCTCTTGCAGGAACTGCTGACACACTCCAGCCACATGAGGTCTAGCATTGTCTTGCATTAGGAGGAACCCAGGGCCAACCGCACCAGCATATGGTCTCACAAGGGGTCTGAGGATCTCATCTCGGTACCTAATGGCAGTCAGGTTACCTCTGGCGAGCACATGGAAGGCTGTGCGGCCCCCCAAAGAAATGCCACCCCACACCATGACTGACCCACCGCCAAACCGGTCATGCTGGAGGATGTTGCAGGCAGCAGAACGTTCTCCACGGCGTCTCCAGACTCTGTCACGTCTGTCACGTGCTCAGTGTGAATCTGCTTTCATCTGTGAAGAGCACAGGGCGCCAGTGGTGAATTTGCCAATCTTGGTGTTCTCTGGCTAATGCCAAACGTCCTGCACGGTGTTGGGCTGTAAGCACAACCCCCACCTGTGGACGTCGGGCCCTCATACCACCCTCATGGAGTCTGTTTCTGACCGTTTGAGCAGACACATGCACATTTGTGGCCTGCTGGAGGTCATTTTGCAGGGCTCTGGCAGTGCTCCTCCTGCTCCTCCTTGCACAAAGGCGGAGGTAGCAGTCCTGCTGCTGGGTTGTTGCCCTCCTACGGCCTCCTCCACGTCTCCTGATGTACTGGCCTGTCTCCTGGTAGCGCCTCCATGCTCTGGACACTACGCTGACAGACACAGCAAACCTTCTTGCCACAGCTTGCATTGATGTGCCATCCTGGATGAGCTGCACTACCTGAGCCACTTGTGTGGGTTGTAGACTCCGTCTCATGCTACCACTAGAGTGAAAGCACCGCCAGCATTCAAAAGTGACCAAAACATTAGCCAGGAAGCATAGGAACTGAGAAGTGGTCTGTGGTCACCAACTGCAAAACCAGTCCTTTATTGGGGGTGTCTTGCTAATTGCCTATAATTTCCACCTGTTGTCTATTCCATTTGCACAACAGCATGTGAAATGTATTGTCAATCAGTGTTGCTTCCTAAGTGGACAGTTTGATTTCACAGAAGTCTGATTGACTTGGAGTTACATTGTGTTGTTTAAGTGTTCCCTTTATTTTTTTGAGCAGTGTATTTTCTAAACTGGTTGTCGGATTCACCTTGGGTGGAAAGATCACGTAGGCCACTTAACTGAATGAAATTAACACCTATTATATGATATGGTATTCTGTCCCTGTGATTTAATGTTGATTCATGAGTCAAATGTGTGGGCCTAATACGGTTTCCTCTGGCAAAGTATAAAGTGCAATTATAATTTTTTTTATTCACAAAATAACGGTAGAGGTAGTAGCAGTGGTTAGGATAAATAATGTTAGCAAAAATGGACTCACAAACAAATGATGAACAAAAATCAACTTCTTCCAAGAAATTGAACTCAATCCAAAATCATGATTTGGGCTGAGGAGGCTAGGGGTACAGCCTACCCACATGGGGACACTCTCCCCAACAGAGTTTACAGAACACTGGCAGAGCCAGGTAGAAATACCTAGTGCCACTTCCTGGGCTAAACCATAGCCACAATGAGCAGCGGTGCACAACTGGTTGAAATCGATCATTTAGCCAACACAGTGGCTATAGAAACGTCTAAAAGCAGACTAACTAGTGTGGCGTACCGCGGACAAGCCACCAGAGGGAGACTCGTCGAGGCCTGGTGACAGACGGAGTCTATAAAACGCGGCGGTGACTCCCTCTGCTGGACAGGCCAGGTCTCGGCGGGTCCTCCGGCCAGGACTAATTGGGGCTGATTTGAGGCTGGTGAGTAATCAAGGGGCTGATTGCTCACCAGCCGTACGGGGCCCATAAAGCTGACAGGAGGGCAGTACACAGGAGAGTTGGAGGTAGTGAGAGGTTGCTACCGGATAACGTCCTCACGGTCTGCTAGAACCGAGGGGCCTCGGTGTTCTACGCCAGAGGAGACTGCATTCCCCGGAGCCCAGAAGACGGTAACCCGGAAGAGGTCTCCTGGAGGACACCTGTTTTATTTATTTTATTTTATTGTTTTAAATAAACATAGTTGAAACTGAGGGATCACACTTGTGTCCGTGTCTGATCTGTGTAAACTTCTAGATCAAACCTCCTGGTCTGCCACAAGTGGTGGAGAATGCAGGCATTCTGACAACCTGGTCAGACCAGGGTTGACGTTTACGCAGTATCAGCATGGATGAGTTGATTGCTCAGTTCGTTCGTGCCCAACAAGCGCAACAGGACATTCAGGAACGAAAGTTGGAAGAACAGCGTCTACAGAATGTCATCCTGCTTAAGGAAGTCAGGAAGCTGTGAGGAGAAACGCAGACCGAATCGCATCCCAATCAGTTTTTAATCAAGCTAACGGAGGATGATGACATTGAGACCTACCTCTGCACGTTTCGAATGGACAGCACACCGGGAAGGATGGCCCAAGGCGAAGTGGGCGAGTCTGCTGGCCCCGTTCCTGTCCGGAGACGCCCAAAAGGCATATTATGACCTCCACACCGAACAGGCGGCTAACTACGACTGTCTCGAGGGAGGTACTCAGTCGCTACGGGTACAGCCTGGCCCGTCGGGCCCAACTGGTCCATGACTGGAGGTTCGTGGCCGAAGCTTCCCCCCGAGCCCAGATGAGCGACCTACTGCATATCACCCGGGAATGGCTCCTAACCGACGGAGCCACCCTCCACGTTATCGACAAAGTGGTCATAGATCGTTTCTTACAGGTGCTACCTCACGACATGAAGAGGGCGGCGAGCCTACTTGCGCCCCAGACGTTGGAGGACCTCTTGGGAGCCGTGGAGATGCACCAGAATACAGAGGCCCTGCTGAAGGGGACGCAGGCCGAGTCCGAGAGCCGTCGGAGGGGACGGAAGGACGACCCCACCACCGTACTCCCCAATCCGACAGTCAGCCGTGCTAAAGGACTGCAGACCTGCGGAGAGACAGCCGGGGGAGAGTGCGACCGACGAGAGCAGCAAGCGATTGCCAACCCCGTGTCTACGGACCCGGAGTCGGGATCCAAGGGGGCGCCGGAACCAACCTCACCTAGTGAACAACCAGAGGAGGAGCCCATGCTCCCCCTCCTCTATTTCGAGGGACCTGCCAAGACACCTGCCCTGAGTCCTCTGAGAGGACAGTTCGGGACCGCCCAGTGGGAGAATCCGAACTTGAAAGTCGCCGCGGCCCAAGTGATAGCGTTGGATGGCCAGCTTCTTCCGGGGGTGAGTGACTGACTGGCGATACCTCCATTTCCCCCCCAAAAAAATTACCTGTTGTATCAAGTGTCACACGAACAGGGGTAACTTTGAGAGGTGCTGTTGCTGCCCCGCCGGTACATCGGAACCGTTCTTCAGCTGGCCCACACCCATTTGTTGGGGGCGCACCTGGGAATGGAGAAGACCCAGGAAAGGATCACCGCCCCGGATGAGGCGGGCCGTGGAAGACTATTGCCGCAGTGTCAAATCACCGCCCCAAAAGCACACTTCCGGAACCTGCTGGTTCCCCTACCGATCATCGGAGTGCCGTTTGAACGCATCGCCATGGACATAGTGGGCCCCCTGGTAAAAAACGGCCCGAGGACACCGGTACATCCTGGTAATAGTAGATATCCCGAAGCCATTCCCCCACGGGCGGCAGTCTCCAAGGGAATCGCCCGGGAGCTGTTCCACCTCTTCAGCCGGGTGGGCGTCCCGAACGAGTTCCTGGCCGACCAAGGTAACGAGTTCATGTCACGACTAATGAAAGATTTGTGTGCTCTCCTACAGATAAAGCAGATCCGGACCTCCGTCTTTCATCCTCAGACGGATGGGCTTGTCGAATGGTTCAATAAGACGCTCAAACAAACAAACCGCTGTGGAGCGGGATGGGAAGAACTGGGACCAGGTACCACCTCACCTAATGTTCTCGATCCGAGGAGACCACACGGCCTACTGGATCTCGCCAAGCCCAGCCGACCCCCTTACGCAGCGTGGTGGAACATGTAGAGACGATGAGAGAGCGGATGACAGCCATATGGCCAGTGGTAAGGGAACATATGGAGAAGGCCCAGCACGCCCATGCCAAGGTCTACAATTGGGGTACCCAGCTCCGAGAGTTCCATGTGGGTGAAAAGGTGCTAGTTTTAATCCCCACCGCAGAAAGTAAGTTCCTGGCAACATGGCACGGGCCGTACGAGGTGATAATTTACGGGTCCCAGCTATAACAGCCGGGGTGACGGAAACCCCAACAGATTTACCGCGTGAAGCTATTGAAGAGGTGGCACGAGAGGACAGCCTTGTCCGTGTTGTGGTCAAAACCCAGGACGTCGACGGGACCAGTGGTGATCACGAGCAATGAGGACCTCGGACCGACCCAGAAGCAAGCGCTCCGGGAGCTCATCGATCAGAACACTGCCGTGTTTTCCGAGAAGCCGGGCCGAACGACCCTCATTGAACACCACGTCCACACCCGGCCCGGAGAAACGGTACGAAAGAGGCCATACTGGATCCCCGAGGCCCGAAGGAAAGCCGTGAAGCAGGAGGTGGGGGCTATGCTGAGGATGGGAGTCATCGAGGAGTCCCACAGTGCATGGTGCAGCCACATCGTGTTGGTGCCCAAACCAGACGGTAGTCTGCGTTTCTGCAATGACTTTCGGGGGGTGAACAACTACAGTTTGTTCCACGCCTACCCCATGCCGAGGGTGGACGAGCTCATTGACCGGTTGGGAAAGGCCTGGTACATCATCACCCTGGACCTGACCAAGGGATATTGGCAGGTACCCTTGGCAGCCTCCTCCCGGGAGAATCAAATCAAATTTGATTGGCCACATGCGCCGAATACAACAGGTGCAGACATTACAGTGAAATGCTTACTTACAGCCCTTAACCAATAGTGCATTTATTTTTAATAAAAAAGTAGAATAAAACAACAAAAGTGTTGAGAAAAAAAGAGCAGAAGTAAAAAAAAATAACAGTAGGGAGGCTATATATACAGGGGGGTACCGGTGCAGAGTCAATGTGCGGGGGCACCGGCTAGTTGAGGTAGTTGAAGTAATATATACATGTGGGTAGAGTTAAAGTGACTATGCATAAATAATTAACAGAGTGGCAGCAGCGTAAAAAGATGGGTGGGGGGCAGTGCAAATAGTCCGGGTAGCCATGATTAGCTGTTCAGGAGTCTTATGGCTTGGGGGTAGAAGCTGTTGAGAAGTCTTTTGGACCTAGACTTGGCACTCCGGTACCGCTTGCCGTGCGGTAGCAGAGAGAACAGTCTATGACTAGGGTGGCTGGAGTCTTTCACAATTTTGAGGGCTTTCCTCTGACACCGCCTGGTATAGAGGTCCTGGATGGCAGGAAGCTTGGCCCCAGTGATGTACTGGGCCGTACGCACTACCCTCTGTAGTGCCTTGCGGTCGGAGGCCAAGCAGTTGCCATACCAGGCAATGATGCAACCAGTCAGGATGCTCTCGACGGTGCAGCTGTATAATTTTTTGAGGATCTGAGGACCCATGCCAAATCTTTTCAGTCTCCTGAGGGGGAATAGGCTTTGTCGTGCCCTCTTCACGACTGTCTTGGTGTGTTTGGACCATGATAGTTCGTTGGTGATGTGGACACCAAGGAACTTGAAGCTCTCAACCTGTTCCACTACAGTCCCCGTCGATGAGAATGGGAGCGTGCTCAGTCCTCTTTTTTTTTCTCCTGTAGTCCACAATCGTCTCCTTTGTCTTGGTCACGTTGAGGGAGAGGTTGTTATCCTGGCACCACACGGCCAGGTCTCTGACCTCCTCCCTATAGGCTGTCTCATCGTTGTCCGTGATCAGGCCTACCACTGTTGTGTCATCGGCAAACTTCATGATGGTGTTGGAGTCGTGCCTGGCCATGCAGTCATGGGTGAACAGGGAGTACAGGAGGGGACTGAGCACGCACCCCTGAGGGGCCCCCGTGTTGAGGATCAGTGTGGCAGATGTGTTGTTACCTACCCTTACCACCTGGGGGCAGCCCGTCAGGAAGTCCAGGATCCAGTTGCAGAGGGAGGTGTTTAGTCCCAGGATCCTTAGCTTAGTGATGAGCTTTGAGGGCACTATGGTGTTGAATGCTGAGCTGTAGTCAATGAATAGCATTCTCACATAGGCGTTCCTCTTGTCCAGGTGGGAAAGGGCAGTGTGGAGTGCAATAGAGATTGCATCATCTGTGGATCTGTTGGGGCGGTATGCAAATTGTGGGTCTAGGTTTTCTAGGATAATGGTGTTGATGTGAGCCATGACCAGCCTTTCAAAGCACTTCATGGCTACAGACGTCAGTGCTACGGGTCGGTAGTCATTTAGGCAGGTTATCTTAGAGTCCTTGGGCACGGGGACTATGGTGGTCTGCTTGAAACATGTTGGTATTACATACTCAGACAGGGAGAGGTTGAAAATGTCAGTGAAGACACTTGCCAGTTGGTCAGCACATGCTCGGAGTACACGTCCTGGTAATCCGTCTGGCCCTGCGGCCTTGTGAATGTTGACCTGCTTAAAAGTCTTACTCACATCGGCTACGGAGAGCGTGATCACATAGTCATCCGGAACAGCTGGTGCTCTCATGCATGCTTCAGTGTTGCTTGCCTCGAAGCGAGCATAGAAGTGGTTTAGCTCATCTGGAAGTCTTGTGTCACTGGGCAGCTCGTGGCTGTGCTTCCCTTTGTAGTCTGTAATAGTTTTCAAGCCCTGCCACATCCGACGAGCATCAGAGCCTGTGTAGTACGATTCAATCTTAGTCCTGTATTGACTTTTTTCCTGTTTGATGGTTCGTCGGAGGGCATAGCGGGATTTCTTATAAGCGTCCGGGTTAGAGTCCCGCTCCTTGAAAGCAACTCTACCCTTTAGCTCAGTGCGGATGTTTCCTGTAATCCATGGCTTCTGGTTGGGGTATGTACGTACGGTCACTGTGGGGACGACGTCATCGATGCACTTATTGATGAAGCCAGTGACTGATGTGGTGTACTCCTCAATGCTATCTGAAGAATCCCGGAACATGTTCCAGTCTGTGCTAGCAAAACAGTCCTGTAGCTTAGCATCTGCGTCATCTGACCACTTTTTTATGAATAGAGTCACTGGTGCTTCCTGCTTTAGTTTTTGTTTATAAGCAGGAATCAGGAGGATAGAGTTATGGTCAGATTTGCCAAATGGAGGATGAGGGAGAGCTTTGTATGCGTCTCTGTGTGTGGAGTAAAGGTGGTCTAGAGTTTTTTTTTCCTCTGGTTGCACATTTCACATGCTGGTAGAAATTAGGGAGAACGGATTTAAGTTTCCCTGCATTAAAGTCCCCGGCCACTAGGAGCGCTGCCTCTGGATGAGCGTTTCCTGTTGATTTATGGCCTTGTACAGCTCATTCAGTGCAATCTTAATGGCAGCATTGGTTTGTGGTGGTAAATAGATAGCTATGAAAAATATAGATGAAAACTCTCTTGGTAAATAGTGTGGTCTACAGCTTATCATAAGATACTCTACCTCAGGCGAGCAAAACCTTGAGACTTCCTTAGTATTTGATTTTGTGCACCAGCTGTTGTTTACAAATATACACAGACCACCACCCCTTGTCTTACCGGAATCAGCCGTTCTATCCTGCCGATGTAGCGTATAGCCCGCTAGCTGTATGTTGTCCATGTCGTCATTCAGCCACGACTCGGTGAAACAACATGTTACAGTTTTTAATGTCCCGTTGGTAGGATAACCGTAATCTTAAGTCATCCAATTTATTCTCAAATGATTGAAAATTGGCTAATAGGATTGATGGGAGCGGCAGTTTACTCGCTCGCCGTCGGATCCTTACAAGGCACCCCGACCTACGTCCACGATATCTCCGTCTCTTCCTCATGCGAATGACGGGGATTTGGGCCTTGTCGGGTGTCTGTAGGATATCCTTTGCGGCCACCTCGTTGAAGAAAAAATCTTCGTCCAATACGAGGTGAGTAATCGCTGTCCTGATATCCAGAAGCTCTTTTTGGTTATAAGAGACGATGGCAGAAACATTATGTACAAAATAAATTACAAATAACGTGGAAAAACACACATAATAGTACAATTGGTTAAAGGGCTGTAAAACGGCATCCATCTCCTCCGGCGCCATTGGATTTGGAAAAGACAGCATTCTCAACACCGGATTGCTTATACCAATACCGGGTCCTCCCGTTTGGTCTCCATGGAGCCCCGCCCACGTTCCAGCGCCTGATGGACAGAGTCCTCCGACCCCACCAACAGTACACAACGGCCTATTTGGATGACATCATCATCCACAGCCAAGGTTGGGAAGAGCACCTGACGCACCTCCAGGCGGTACTGGACGCGCTCAGGCAAGCTGGGTTGACAGTGAATCCTAAGAAATGCAAGCTGGGGTTCGAGGAGGTGGAGTACCTGGGTTATTTGATCGGACGGGGGAACGTCAAGCCCCAGGAGATGAAGGTCCAGGCGGTTCGTGACTGGCCCGTTCCCTGCACCAAGACACAGGTCAAGTCCTTCCTGGGGCTTGCAGGATACTATAGCCGGGTTATCCCCAACTTTGCGTCTATAGCCTCCTCCCTTACCGATCTGACCAGGGCCCACCTCCCGAAAACAGTGAAGTGGTCGGATGAGGCCGAAGCGGTGTTCAGGCGCCTGAAGGAAGCCCTGTGCTCCCATCCGATTCTCGTGACGCCCGATTTCCAGGTACCGATGCTGGTGCAGACGGATGCCTGCAACACGAGACTAGGGGCCGTCCTATCCCAGATACACAATGGGGAGGAACACCCCACCATGAACATAAGCCGGAAGTTGATACCCCGAGGAAATGAGTACTCTATTGTCAAGAAAGAGTGTCTAGCGGTAAAGTGGGTGCTAGACACTGTTAAGTATTACCTGTTGGGCACCCACTTCACCCTGGTCACAGACCATGCTCCCCTGGTCTGGAAAAGGACACAAACAATCAAGTCACCAGGTGGTTCTTGTCCCTTCAACGCTTCTCTTTTTCTGTTGTGCACAGGTAAGGGGCGAAGCATGGGAACGTGGATGCCCTATCGAGAAGGGATACATACATCGCACTGACGACCGCCCCCTCCCCGAAAGGGCTAAGGCTGGGGTGGCATGGCGCAGACAAGCCACCAGGGGGAGACTCATCGAAGCCTGGTGACAGACGGAGTCTACATCACCTGTTTATTTTATTTTTATTTATTGTTTTAAATAAACACCCTTGAAACTGAGGTATCACACTTGTGTCTGATCTGTGTAAACGTCTAGATCAAACCCCCTGGTCTGCCACAGTAGTCTATCATAGCATCACATTCATAGGTGTGTGGACACTCACATGTCCGCGTGCTCAAGTGGAGCTCTGAGAAGCAGCAACAAACAAGAACAAACACACAGTAATCAACCTAAATAAATGCACAAACTGAAGGGAAATAACTTCACTTGATTTACAAACGTAGGCTAATGACAAGAGGGGAGTTTAATAGCAACAGGGCCCATGATTCAGACATTCAATTATCACGAAAGTGGGGGCAAGTCAGACTTTAAGGCCCAGTGCAGTCAACATAGTTTTTCCTGTGTTTTGTATCATATTGTACAACAGCTGATAAAACTAACACTCTAAAAGTGTGTCTTTTTTATCAGTGTTATTTCCTGATAGTTGCTGGTTTAAAATACAATTTACACAGGATCTTCTAATCACCAGGTTTTGCATGGGTGGACATCACCAGGCGGTATAAGTTAATAGACCAATAACAAAGAGTTCCAAACCTCTCTACCAATAACAGCTAGTTTTCAGGTTACATATCCCTCCCTTAGGCCCCTCACTCAGACTACTCCCAGACAGTCCTAGCAAAATTATTGCTTGAGAAAGTGTTTTTGCTAAAAAACTATTTTGGTTTCTTTTTGACCATTTGAATGGAAAACTATTACAGTAAGTTACCCAGAAATGATTTGATATTAAAATAAAAATGGCTGCATTGGGCCTTTAATTCAAGAGCACACAAGGGAGAGCAGGGCTTGAACTCGAGCACGCCTGTCGACATCACAAAGTAATTCTGGAGCAAACACCCTGCAAGGGCTGAGCCGCTGAGGATGAAAAAATAACCAAGTTAACCTCTAACTCCTATATGAAACGTTTCCCAACAGCACAAACTGTAGCAGGAGTCCCATGACTCCATAGCTGTTAAAGTGTAAGACTCAAAGGCCCTTTGAACTCTGAGCCCACTACAAGAACACACAGGCATACCGACAGAAGACACAACTGTACATTGTTTTCAGTTTTCCTCCCATAATGATGTCATCTTCTTGTGACAGGATTTGGTGCGTGGCGCGAAGCAGCCCTTTCCCTCCCTCAGCACGTTCATCTCCTCCCTTAACCAGCGTAGGGAGACGGGAGGCCGGTTCAGCGTGGGCACAAACCCGAGTCTACCAGGCAGACGACATGGTGAGTTAACAACACAGGGCAGATTCACACACTGTGGTGGTCTACAAAGACACTGGAGAAATGCAGCCCTCACATATCCCACAATAATCCCCCTATAATTTCCCTATACTCACACAGAAGCTGGTCTCTCTCCACTGCACACAATGATATGTCACTCACCACTGCACACCAAAGGAGACATTGTTTATATAGTTAAATGAAAAAATTACAGTATATTAAAGAATATATTGTTTTATTTTGCAGTGAGGGCTGAGTGTGGGTAATTCTGTCCGTCAGAAATGAGACCCAGCTGAACAGTTGTCAGGCCTGCAGTGCACACACTAAATCTATTTAGTCACCGCTGCTACTGATGCCAAAATAATTATGCAAACATCTCTGTCAAATGAAAGCCATATGAAGGCTTATTTTCATGGCGCGTACATGTTGGTGGAGAGGAACCATGCAGCAGGAAAGCATTTCCAAGCATTTGTCATTTCAAATTTAGTTGTATAGATTCCTTGCCTGATTTGTTATGCACAAACTATATGATTGCTCTGCCGTCAATATGTTCCATCACTTGATATGATTCTAATAGATATTTGTGTAACCTCACTGAAATGTAAACTCTGCTACCAATGTGAATAAATACATGATACTTGGCAGAGTTTAAGATTTTCTTCCTCTTATCTTCAAATGAGATTTCTATGCATCAAAGGGTTTTGATATGAAAACAAAAGCATGGGCAACATGAATAGGATGCCAAAGGGGATGAGATGAGATAGGTCAGGGTCAGCTATCTCAGAGGTAATGATGGACGTTATCACCTGGCAACAGCCAGCAGAAATGGTTTAACAACTTCTTGTGGGTATGCTGTCATTTGTCTGAAGACACTGTTGTCCTGGCCTGTTAGGTCCTGAAAAAGATGGGTAGAGACAATAATGTGTGTCCCCACTTAACGGAAAGTCAGCGTTGGTTAACTAAGGTCATGCAGTGAATGTACTATGTGATTACAGACTGATTGGGTCGAGTTTAATTAGTGTTGTTAGTGAAGCCAGTCTGAGCAAGTCGCAATCTGAGGATCTCGCAATCAAAGCCTTGTGAATCATGTCCATTGTATGCCATCTGTGTCTTTGCAAGCAGTAAAACATCTATTTACTTATCTGCTACACAATAGTCATGTGTATGTGTATACTCTGTGTAGAGGGAAACTAACTATTTGTGTCTTGTAATTTCCCAGGGAGTGAGCTACCTCCTATTTGCAGTGATGTGAGGCAGAAACAGAAGATTTCCATCGACACACTTCCCCCCGAGGTGAAGGCCCCGTTCCCCTCTGAACCTGTCATCCCCCTCCGCACTAAGACCACCAAAGAGTTCCAGTGAGTAACACCACCTCTCCCCATGACCTACACTATGACCTCCATTTGACCTTGAGTAGCATACCTTACTGCCCTCTTATGATCGTCATGACTTCCCACTGGGCACAGACGTCATTTCAACATCTAGTTTTGATTTACATTTGGTAGAGTTGTCAACTAACGTAAATTCAACATGAAATCAACAAAAAAATGACACCATGTCATTGGATTTAGGTTAAAAGTTGTGAGAAAATATTTTTAAACATTCCCTTACGTTGATGACTTTTTGCAAATCCAATCAGTTTTCCACATTGATTCAACATCAACACATTACATTTTTTTGTTGAAATGACGTGGAAACAACGTTGATTCAACCAGTTTTTACTCAGTGGGCTATGCTTCGCTATGACAATGATTTATTGATGGATTCTTTCCACTGTGTTGCAGGGAAGACATGGAGCGAGCCACAACCTCAGGGGACTGGAGGGATGTGAGGGATTTCTACCTAACCACCTTTGACTCCTTTCTAGAGATCAATGCTGCCTTCAAGGTAATGGCTCATGCTGGTTTTTGTTATTATGTTGCGAGTTATGCTTTCCCCAAACATACCTTATCCATTTTAGAATATTCTAATTCCTTTTGGTTTAGATTAGTTCCACGTCTTAAATTATTGATATCTCCAGCACCTCTTTCTCCATTGTGAATTCTCTTAAGAAGGAAAGCATGCAGAGCATGTGTTCTTGAAAGTGTTATTCATGAGGAAACCAACGGAGCATAATGTAAGAGAAAAGCTGTTAATCTACAGTGCATTCGGAAAGTATTGACCCCATGACTTTTTCCACATTTTATTACGTTACAGCCTTATTCTAAAATTGATTAAATTGTGTTTTTTCCTTATCAATCTACACACAATACCCCATAATGACAAAGCAAAAACATTTTTTTTGAAATTTCACATCTACATAAGTATTCAGACCCTTTACTCAGTACTTTGTTGAAGCACCTTTGGCAGCGATTACAGCCTTGAGTCTTCTTGGGTATGACGCTACAAGCTTGGCACACCTGTATTTGGGGAGTTTCTTCCATTCTTCTCTGCAGATCCTCTCAAGCTCTGTCATGGTGGATGTGGAGTGTCATTGCACAGCTATTTTCAGGTCTCTCCAGAGATGTTCGATCGGGTTCAAGTCCGGGCTCTGGCTGGGCCACTCAAGGACATTCAGAGACCCGAAGCCACTCCTGCGTTGTCTTGGCTGTGTGCTTAGGGTCGTTGTCCTGTTGGAAGGTGAACCTTTGCCCAAGTCTAAGGTCCTGAGTGCTCTGGAGCAGGTGTTCATCAAGGATCTCTCTGTACTTTGCTCCATTCATCTTTCCCTCGATCGTGACTAGTCTCCCAGTCCCTGCCGCTGAAAAACATCCCCACAGCATGATGCAGCCACCACCATGCATCACTGTAGGGACAGGTGTGTGCCTTTTACAAATCATGTCCAGTTGAATTTACCACAGGTAGACTCCAATCAAGTTGTAGAAACATCTCAAGGATGATCAATGGAAACAGGATGCATCTGAGCTCAATTTCGAGTCTCATAGCAAAGGGTCTGAATACTTATGTAAATAAGGTATTTGTGTTTTATTTTATTTTATACATTTGCAAAAATGTCTACAAACCTGTTTTTGCTTTGTCCTTATGGGGTATTGTGTGTAGATTGATGCAAAAAATATAATAATTTAATCCAATTTAGAATAAGGCTGTAACGTAACAAAATGTGGAAAAAGTCTGAATACTTTCCAAATGGACTTATAAGGGTCCGAGCCTTGTTTTGTTGGCATCGGGCAAGAATAGTTCAACACACACCACCATTGTTCAACGAACACACAGACACACACACACACACACACACACACACACACACACACACACACACACACACACTATATGTCCTCCCTGCCAGACAAGCCCAGTGTTTGGCTCTAGCAAGTGCCCGTTGTGAGAAAACAGTTTGAGCTGTCGTTAAAAAGGCCTGAAATAAAACCATTTAACAATGAGAAACATTACATTTTTCCCTCCTTTTCCTCCTTTCTTAGAGAGATGCTAACGCCCCATTTAACACAATAGAGGATTCTGGAGTCAACTCAAAATTTGTGAATGCTGTTTATGATGCTTTACTCTGCACAGTAAGTACTGCTAACATGACCTTTCTAGGGAAAAGGATATCGTATGACAAAACAAATGAATTCATATTCAGATTTTTTGCCATGAAAGTGCTTCTTGAAACTAGCAGAATTTGGGTCATATTCATTCGATTTAAAGGTTAACTCCATGTTTGTTTATGTTGTTTTAGCCTCAAGACATCCAGAAATCAGTTTTAAAGGGAATCATTAACAGCCTATTGAGAGAGTGGAAAGGGTGAGTGCTGCTTTCAATGTATACCTCTACTACCATTTACTGTTACTATGCTACCTGTTGTTACACTGCAGCAACCATTTACCATAAATAGAGCATTGTTTATGAGAATTTAAGGACATTCATACAGTTGGGCATCTAATTAAACACAACATTTATTTTCAATTGTGTTTGGCTGACTGTATACATTTTAATTTCCTCCTTTCACTGAAAACGATGTGTTGTGTTTTCAGACCCAGAACGAAAGATGACCTGAGGGCATACTTCATCTTAGTTCAGGTAACATTTACTCCTTAAGCTAACATCTTACTAAGTACATGCACCAGTAAGTTTTGTATGTAAAAGTGTCAATTTATAAAGTATAAAATAATATTTTCTGTTTAATGCTTTATCTTTTGTGTTCAATTCCCTTGTGAAAAAGCCTGGACTGGTGCAAATGCTCAGTAAATCCCTATGTTGTTAAACGATTAATTTCAGGACAGAAATAAATGGCAATAACGCTCCCATCATCAGATTTTTGGTTTCCATTAATCCCTGTCATTTCCTGTGGAAAGTGGGTTATTTTGTGCTTTCCAAACCACCACTGCCACAGGCTTAAAGGGACTGTTAGGGTCCCATATACCCTGTAGTATTCTAGCCTCTGTGGTATTGTAGCCCCTGTGGGTATTGTAGCCGCTGTGGGTATTGTAGCCCCTGTGGGTATTGTAGCCCCTGTGGGTATTGTAGCCCCTGTGGGTGTTGTAGCCCCTGTGGGTATTGTAGCCCCTGTGGGTATTGTAGCCCCTGTGGGTGTTGTAGCCCCTGTGGGTATTGTAGCCCCTGTGGGTATTGTAGCCCCTGTGGGTATTTTAGCCCCTGTGGTATTCTAGCCCCTGTGGGTATTTTAGCCCCTGTGGTATTGTAGCCCCTGTGGGTATTTTAGCCCCTGTGGTATTGTAGCCCCTGTGGGTATTTTAGCCCCTGTGTTATTTTAGCCCCTGTGGTATTGTAGCCCCTGTGGGTATTGTAGCCCCTGTGGGTATTGTAGCCGCTGTGGGTATTGTAGCCCCTGTGGGTATTGTAGCCCCTGTGGTGTTGTAGCCCCTGTGGGTATTTTAGCCCCTGTGTTATTTTAGCCCCTGTGGGTATTGTAGCCCCTGTGGGTATTGTAGCCCCTGTGGGTATTGTAGCCCCTGTGGTATTTTAGCCCCTGTGGGTATTTTAGCCCCTGTGGGTATTGTAGCCGCTGTGGGTATTGTAGCCCCTGTGGGTATTGTAGCCGCTGTGGTATTGTAGCCTCTGTACTATTCTAGCCTCTGTACTATTCTAGCCTCTGTAGTATTCTAGCCCCTGTAGTATTCTAGCCTCTGTAGTATTCTAGCCTCTGTAGTATTCTAGCCTCTGTAGTATTCTAGCCTCTGTAGTATTCTAGCCTCTGTAGTATTCTAGCCTCTGTAGTATTCTAGCCTCTGTAGTATTCTAGCCTCTGTAGTATTCTAGCCCACTGAGAATCCTCTGCAGTTGCATGTGAAGTGATACAGAGGCAGCCGTTCTGGCTCATTGGATTCAGTGGCAGGACTTCTTTCAGCTCTCACGTCAGTTCTGAAGATAGTTCTGGCTGTAGTACAGTGAGTCTCTGTTTGTTTTGGTGGTCTTAAGTGTCTGTGTTTTTCATAGAGAGACAGTAGTTATTGGTTTTGGTCTGATGTCTAGATGCTTATATCAGATGGTAGTGTGTCTTGCTGGTTTAGAATGTCTTGTTTCAGTGTACTGTGGCAGTGGGTGTTCTTCTATTCTCCTTTTACACCGGTGCACTTTTTACTGCAGTAGTAGTTCTCTCTGTTGGTCTAATGCTGTACAGTACAGTGGGCCAGGCTAAGCAAGACAGGCTGGAATCCTTAGGCCTCCTCCCTCTCCATACGCCCCATTGACTCCAGTCATATGTCAGGCAGTCAGTGCACAGCAGTACTGCAACAACTACTCTCTGTGCCCCAAGCTAGCTGTGTGACTAGAGTCGTTGATTTCACTTCACCTGTTTCACTTCACATAAAATCTAGTAACCCTAGTCCGTCTAGGGAAAATGCTGATGATGTCATTAATTGAACTCCTCAGAATAAATCTGTACATGCTGTAACTAACAGTATAGGACAATTGTAAACAAGATAGGCTATAGCAATTCTGTTTTGTGTTCAATTTCCTGTATATAAGTGTAGGCCTATTCTCTTGTTAAATGTTTGTGTAAAGAATGTGGGTGGTAGTTTGACCGGGAGATACACAGCACATGTCTGATCAGCCATATCCCTGATGTCATGTTCCGTGTTCTCCATGGAAACGGGGTGAGGTCATCCTAGACTGCTGGAATGTCGGTTTCCTGTGTGATGCTGTTCTTTCGGAGAGGCTGAATGTTTTATGGTTTTCGCTGAAGTTCAGTGCATGGAAACCGAATAAACAGACTGGACCATCGTCAGCTTTTAAAGCTTTCCCTTCCCTCTCTTTTCTCTATATTGGTGCAAGTCAATTTTGAAGCACACTTGCAGTACATTCTGGATTTTTAGTGCAGATGACCTGTGTTTATTTGTTTTCTAGAACCCTCAGTATTCCAGCACCAGTACCCATGTGATCTACGCCCACCTACTGAGACAGATAGCTGCCCTGTCCGAGGCTGACCACCATTTCCTAGTGCACTGGTTTAAAAAGTAAGTGCAGTCTGCAGTGTGTCTTAGAGCCTCACCCCTGCATGGATTATAAAAAAAAATTGTTTCACACTTACACAGCCTGCAGTTATGAATAGGGTTGAGTAGTGAAGTATTTGATGTTCATAGAGGTGACTAACACCCAGCCTGTATCCAGTTTGAGTAGGTGTTACCCAGTCTCTCCCTGCACACTGTCACAACCAAACACTAACACTATGGCCTACACTATGGCCTGTGGTTACCTAAACGTAGTGTGTGTGTGTGTGTGTGTGTGTGTGTGTGTGTAACCCTTCCTGTTCCTCGCCCCTCCCCAGATTGTCTCCAAGGCGTTTCAGGCAGCTGGTGGAGCGTTTTCTTCACTTCATCTCTACTCGTCTATTACCGGCTCCTCCTGATGAATTGCCCCATCTGACCAGGTGCTCCTGGTGGATCCCTGCTGCCACCAAGGTCCTCGCCCTCTTCAGTAAGTCATGTCCACAACATCAGGAACAGGGGATTTTACTCTGTGTACCCCTGGAGCTGTTCAGTGGGTTCTGGGTAACCCCACAGTTCTACAATATGAGCCCTGTGTTATCCAGTATGTGCTGTAAAACCTGATACACATACCAGAGACAGAGAGAAAGTGTAATTGCTTAAGGGAGGCTGTAGGTTCAGGTGCGGTTAGGAGGGAGGAGGGGTTGCTGTTAGGAGTGCCGGAGGGATGAAGTGGTTTTTCATGCATATAGAATCTGGGTAGAGATTATATCTTGGGTGTAAAGTCATTTAGACATATGTAGATAAACTAATGCCCTGGTATACCCTGTCCTCACCAGACGCAGCTAACAGCATATCCACGCCTCCTATCATGTCTTTCACGGACTTCTACAACATCACCTTGGACCACATCGACATCATGGAGCAGTACCGCACCTGGCAGAGCCACGGCAACTCCAACAAGTGGGTTACCAGTCCACAGGAGCAACACTCATATCCCATATTCAGGGTCCAGAGTTTTTCCTGACCAGGTCATTTTCTGAGCCCTTCTTATAGGGCCATAACGTCTTGGTTAAATGTCTTCCAATTCTGGACATAGTTGGGAAGCCCTGCAGGGGAAGATTGTAAACCACAGACAGCACATGGTACTGAGAGCAGAACACATTAGATATACTTCTCATAAGCTGCACATGTTTTTCCTCTCTCCCTGTGTGTCCGTTCCAAGTTTTTGATGATGCAGCTCCCTCTTGTGTGCCATACATCATATGAACAGCTGAAAGTGCTAATGCAGCGCTACTGAAGGTTAGCCTCCCACAGCTCTCCTCTCGCTGTGACTACCCTCAGTGGAACAGCTCTGTGAGTCAGAGCCAAAACTCAAAACAGAGCACATCACGCCTCCATATAGTGTGACCGTCAAGGGACACATATTATGGAGAGAGAAGGATATTGCACAATGATTCCTCTTTCTAAAGATGGAACTGATTGTGGATCTGGATCAGTCCAGAGACTATGTGGGTTGCTCTCTTCCTCTTTACGGAAATCCTCCTGCTTCCATATTTTATCATCTTCTGCCCAAGTGCATTCTTTCTTCCTATCTTCTCCTCCTCAGGTTCTCTTTCTGCCAGTTCCCATTTATCCTGTCAACGGTGGTGAAGAAAGCCATCATCCAGAGAGACTCCGAACAGCAGATGATCAGCATGGCCAGAGTGAGAAACACAGCCTATTGTCTTCTGTCAACTTTCCTCTATCATCAACACTGTTGACTCTGAGCTGTGCATAAACTGAGATGCATACGATACAATTTGTATAGTGACCTGCTTTCATATTAAAACCTTTTCGGTATGTGTTCTTTTTCTCTCCAGCAAAGCCTGGTGAACAAGGTCTCTCGCAGGCAGAGAGTGGACATGAACCTGTTGTTCCTCAACATCAAGGTACGACGGGCCCAGCTACTCAGCGACTCATTGGATGAGGTAAGACCTCCTAACACACGAAGCACTGGGTGTGGTCGAGACGTTATTGAAACACTGTCCTCTGTAAAAAAAAAATATATTTCCCACTCCGTATGTTCCTCTTTATTAAGTTGTCTGGTTCCGTGAGCACTACAACTGTCGGACAGCTTATTCAGCACTCTGCCTTCGAATGGTGATAGAAACCACATAACACTACAGCACAGAGCTGTTAGTGGGCCCATTGCTTCCCCCTCTAAAGCCCATCTGGTCTTTTGCTCTGGAAAGTTCTCTGTCACCATGGCTTGATTTGGAAAACCATCCTGGCTGTAAAACGTAGGGTTTGTGTCGCCCATCCTCCACTCCTCTCCCCCTCCACCCCTCCCTCGCCCTGTCTAGCTGAGCAGGAAGAGAGCAGACCTGAAGAAGAAGCTCAAGGTGACTTTCGTAGGAGAGGCGGGGCTCGACATGGGCGGCCTCACCAAGGAATGGTTCCTGCTGCTGGTTCGACAGATTTTCCACACTGACTATGGTGAGACATGGAATGTAGGACAGAATATATTGGCCTCATTTAGCAACTTTCAAATCAAATCCATGTATTGCTTAAAACCCATGCAAGATTCATCAAATGTTTCTCCCTCTCATTTGAGATACTGTATGCAATGGAAAGCAAATCAGTTTTTATTGAAATCTCAGCAGAATTAGAATATTATCCATAAAGCAATTCTCACACAGCCAATACAAACCTAATAATTGTGAAACACTGGAGTGAGCTTGTTGCTTTTGGAGGCACTGAGTCTCTCTTTCCCCTTCTCTCTCAGTCCTCCAAGCCCAGTTATTCTTTCCATAGATACATTTTCAGAGATGCGGGCTGCTTGCCTAGACTAAATGAAAACTGCAGCCCGCTCATTAAAAACGCGAACCAACCCATCTACACTCAAGTTTTTTTTTCTTGTCAGAAAGTTAAATGTTAGCTTTTCGTTTCTCAGCTTTTCATAGCCGAGCTGTGAAGGGCACAATAATATATATAATAATATGCCATTTAGCAGACGCTTTTATCCAAAGCGACTTACAGTCATGTGTGCATACATTTTTACATACGTGGTCCCGGGGATCGAACCCACTACCCTGGCGTTACAAGCGCCATGCTCTACCAATTGAGCTACAGAGGACCACCTTCATGTTTGAAGGTCAGAGTTTTCATCTGGTTAAGGAAACTGCTGAATGCACCTGGGAATGTTTTCGGTCAATTTTTAGAATACTACTATATATAATATTATTAGACTAGACATTGAACAGACGATTGTGTTACATTAGGCCTGTGGAGGGGTTTTCCCATTTATGCTCCTTTCACTGGATTATATATCAAACTTGTTTGTCTTTTCAGGCATGTTCACCTACTTGAAGGATTCCCGTTGTCATTGGTTCAGCAGCTGGAAATGTGACAACTACTCTGACTTTCAATTGGTCGGGACTGTATCCTTTCATTCCTAAACCAGGAATTAGTGTGTCAACGGTTTCAGATATGCAGCAATCTGCACCACACACACCAATGAGGCAGTGCTGGAAAACCACACTGGAGAAACTAATACTTAATGTATTTTTGATGCTATAAATCCGTCTAACCATTGCAATATATGCTTATTATCTATCTATATTTAATAGGACTTGGATGAAATATTCACTGTATTATGTAAAAGTAGTGGAAGTAGCTATGTTCGACCAATCTTCCATCAACTTTCAGTTCTATATCTCCCTTAAATGTCCCATGCCTGTTACACTATGTTTTTCCAAATTTGTTTACAATCACCTTTCACCTCATTTATGACGTTAATGAAGAAGTTGGCTTTTGATTTTCTGAGCTCAAGGACGATCTTGTTGAATATCATTGTCAACATCTAGTCCAATTGTTACTGCTTTCTGTAATGCAGCATCTCTGTTTTCATTAACTGCCATAGGGTGTCATTTAATTAAAGTTAATTACAGGAGTGTGTTTTCAAGAGATGGCAATAAAAAGTAGTAAAGAAATAGAGGGAATACGTTGTGTTTCAAGGGAGTGATGTATTACTACATTGCGAAGTAGATCATATGTAGTTTATTCCTACCTACAGGCGAGCCGGGGCTTGTCAAAGCTCTGTGTTACATAACATCAGCCTGTGGCTAGCGGCCTAGCGGGGCTGTGTGCTAGCTAAGTGCTAAATTAGCCAGCCTGTCCCCTAGTCTTGGCAGTCTGTCAGGCGGTCATGGAAAGAGCAAAGGAAGAAACTTAGAGAGGAACCATGCTCCAAGGGGTGGCCAGTCCTCTTCTGGCTGTTCCGGGTGGAGATTTAAAGGGATAATGTGAGATTTTGGCAACTAAACCCTTTTTCTACATGTCCAGAATCAGATTAACTCATGGATACCATTTGTATGTCTCTGCGTGCAGAACAGGCCGAGAGTTATAGCTCTGAGACTACATCTGAGGCCTCTGAATCCCTCTCCCACTCGAGGGCTCAAGGCAGTAAAAGGCAGCCTGTCAAATAAAAGCCAGATGGATGAGGAAGGCCCCTCTTATAGCTCACAGACTTTGATACGGATGGTGGATCACAGCCACTTACCTCTGAGAGTTGTTTACACTGAAAGTGTGTTTCCTTGATTTTACAGTTGCGCTTTTGCAGAGACGGTGCACACTGCATGCCGTTCCTACTTTGTGCATGTTGTTTGGAGTTTTTACACGTTGCAATAGTCTTGTGCTGGAATTGAGCCTGCATATTGCTTTAACTTGCAATGGGATGGGTAGAGACACGTGTTGCAAAACGAGACTACAGGGACAGGTTCAACGGAAGAGCTATTCAGACAGAGAGAGGGAGATTTTGACAGAGCGAGATGTAGAGACAGACCGTTGAAGGTGGCCGGTTTACATGTTACATTTTAGTCATTTAGCAGACGCTCTTATCCAGAGCGACTGACAGTAGTGAGAGCATACATTTTTAGACTTTTTTCAAACTGGTCCCCCTTTGCAAGCGCCATGCTTTACCAACTGAGCCACATAGGACCACTGGCATTACCGCTCTGAGCCACATGGTTGTCTTGGCATTACCTCCCTGAATCAGTCAATGAAAATTAATTCATTAGGCCCTAATCTATGGATTGCATGACTGGGAATACAGATATGCATCTGTTAGTTACAGATACCTTAAAAACAAAGGTAGGGGCATGGATTAGAAAACTGGTCAGTATCTGGTGTGACCACCATTTGCCTCATGCAGCATGTCACATCTCCTTCGCATAGAGTTGATCAGGCTGTTGATTGTGGCCTGTGGAATGTTGGCCCACTCCTATTCAATGCCTGTGTGAAGTTGCTGGATATTGGCGGGAACTGGAACACGCTGTCGTACACGTCGATACAGAGCATCCCAAACATGCTCAATGGGGAACATGTCTGGTGAGTATGCAGTCCCCTGTAGCTCAGTTGGTAGAGCATTGCGCTTGCAAGGCCAGGGTTGTGGGTTCGTTTCCCACGGGGGGCCAGTATGAAAATGTATGCACTCACTAACTGTAAATCGCTCTGGATAAGAGCATCTGCTAAATGACTAAAATGTAAATGTAATGGAAGAACTCTGTGACATTTTCAGCTTCCAGGAATTGTGTACAGATCCTTGCGACATGGGGCTGTGCATTATCATGCTGTAACATTTACATTTACATTTTAGTCATTTAGCAGACGCTCTTATCCAGAGCGACTTACAGTTAGTGAATACATTTTTTTTATTTTTTATACTGGCCCCCCATGGGAAACGAACCCACAACCCTGGCGTTGCAAACGCCATGCTCTATCAACTGAGCTACATCCCTGCCGGCCATTCCCTCCCCTACCCTGGACGACGCTGGGCCAATTGTGCGCCGCCCATGAGTCTCCCGGTCGCGGCCGGCTGCGACAGAGCCTGGATTCGAACCAGGATCTCTAGTAGCACAGTTAGCACTGCGATGCAGTTAGCACTGCGATGCAGTGCCTTAGACCACTGCGCCACTCAGGAGGTGATGGCGGCAAATGAATGTCACGACAATGGGCCTCAGGATCTCATCACGGTATCTCTGTGCATTCTAATTTCCATCAATAAAATGCAATTGCGTTCGTTGTCCGTAGCTTATGCCCACACGACACCATCGACACTGTCTTGCCATCTGCCTGGTACAGTTGAAACCGGGATTCATCCATGAAGAGCACAATTCTCTAACGTGCCAGTGGCCATCAAAGGTGAGCATTTGCCCACTGAAGTCAGTTACAACGCCAAACTCCAGTCAGGTCAAGACCCTGGTGAGGACGACGAGCATGCAGATGAGCTTCCCTGAGGCGGTTTCTGACAGTTTGTGCAGAAATTCTTCGGTTGTGCAAACCCACAGTTTCATCAGCTGTCCGGCTGGCACGTCTCAGATGATACCACAGGTGAAGAAGCCGGATGTGGAGGTCCTGGGCTGGCGTGATTACACGTGGTCTGCGGTTGTGAGGCCAGTTGGATGTACTGAATAATTTTCTAGTTTAGTAGAGAAATTAACATTTTATTCTCTGGCAACAGCTCTGGTGGACATTCCTGCAGTCAGCATGCCAATTGCATGCTCCCTCAACTTGAGACATCTGTGGCATTGTGTTGTGTGACAAAACTGCACATTTTAGAGTGGCCTTTTATTGTCCCCAGCACAAGGTTCACCTGTGTGATGATCATGCTGTTTAATCAGCTTCTTGACATGCCACACCTGTCAGGTGGATGGATTATCTTGGCAAAGGAGAAATGCTCACTAACAGGGATGTAACCAAATTTGTGCACAACATTTGAGAGAAATAAGCTTTTTGTGCATATAGAACATTTCTGGGATATTTTATTCCAGCTCATGAAACATAGGACCAACACTTAACATGTTGCGTTTTTATATTTTTGTTCAGTTAATTATGTCTTTGCCCTCAAACTTCCCGAAAGAACGTTGTATGAAGCTCCTTCCCTCAGTGTTGCCTGATATTGTACGGTGAGATTTCCAACCGTTTAAATACTTGGAAAGCCAATGACATTCAGAGTTTTGTAGTAGGTGGCGGTGTATTTCCTTCACTACGGAAACCCTGTTGAATTTCCGATGGTTCTGTGAGTGTGTGAAAGCTGGTGCACAAATGTGTGTGCGTGTGTATATGCATGTCTTAAAGAGTTGTGCGTGTCTGAGCAGTTTGCATACGTGTATTTATGTGTTTGTACTCTTGAATCCAGGCACCCACTCTAGCACATTATAAAGGGATCTTTGTGTGGGCTTTAACTCTGAAATACATCCAGAGTGGCTCCCTCATTTGGAGACTAGGCAGGTAGGAACGTGTGTGTGTGCGTGCGTGCGTAGGTGATGGAGAATGAATGGGCTAAATGTCCTGTCCACCTGCTGGGTTTTGTGGGGAAGGGGCGGTGGCTGACGTAGTCCGAACACACACAGTAACACAATGTAGTCATTTACTCTGTCCTGGTGTAATTTAAAAACACTCTTAGTGCAGTCTGGTCTCTGTGTGCTTACTGGGCATCATCCCAAACATTCACAGTCGTATGGCACCGTACATTATGTTCAAATTTCCTGTGTTATTGTGTTGCACTAATACATTAATTAATGTCTTTGTATTGGTAGATGGCTCAAAATAATAGCTTTTTGACAAAGACACTGGTCATGCTTTGGTGAACACTGATCACATAAAATGGCCTGAACTGTCTGTGAATCAATGTCTGGTCCTTGACTCTGTGTCAGCTCATGGGTCTTGCTGTGTACAACAGCATTGCTCTGGACATCCACTTCCCTCCTTACTGTTACAAGAAGCTCTTGACTCCACCCATTGTGCCTTGTGACCAGAATACTCCCATCGGCATGGCAACCGCCACGCTGGGCGACCTGCAGCAGGTCATGCCGGTATGTCTTCTCTGATTGGTTCGTCTGAAGCACAGCATTTAGAGTAAGAAATGTACTCTTTAAGGATAGGCTTCCTCATCAGTAGGTCAATCAGACTACAGGCCGGTGTTGTTTCAAGGGGGTTACAGTGAAGATCACAATACCCAATTTAACCAGCAGGGGGAACCACAGTTGAGCTTTTCTTTTTTTATTCCCAAACGTTTTCATTTGGACTGGATCCAACCTCTGAAACTCATCTGAATTCATACAAATGTATCAGTATTTTACACTTTTCATTCATTTTGTCTAATTTGAAACACAACTCTACAGTCTCTTATTCTAAAATGTACACACCCATTGCTGACATGGTGTTTCTCTGTGTAATAATTTAGTTTTAATTGTTAAACTGTGCCAGATGTTTGCCTCCTTTAGTTTTTTTTTGAGCTTTGTTCATAGTTGCATAAGAGTGGGGTGTTGTTCTCTCCCCTGTCTGGCCTAAAAAACCTTTGTTTAATAACACGGTGGCTTTGATGAAGCAGGGTGGCTGGCCTGGCATACTCCCAGTGCCACAGTAATGCTGCCCTGGCTCCCTTTGGGGCATGACAGGCACAGCCATGCCACTATACCACTGATCAGAGACTGTGCCCTCACCTTATGTAACTGCTTTGCATCTGGGCTGATTCAAGAAGACAGTTGAAATTCGCTTTGCAGTACAGTCCAATTAACCCTTTGCTAAGCCCCGCCCCCCTTGGTTACTTTTGCAACCTGGGAAGCCCATTTCCCCATATGAACCACTGGCGAAATTCCCTCACAATGATCTCAAACTGTGTTTTTAATACATAATAAAATTAAACACAGATTACCCCTTGCTAATCAGCAAACTCTTTGGTATGTTGTGGTGGACTGTCATTACAATTGCTAAAAGGGAACCTGGCAAAATTATGTTTAGTGTGGCTAGCCACTGAATGTCTCTGAATTCACTGTCCGCATGTAGCCAAAGCTACAAACTATTTTTGAAGCTAACTAGTGCTCTCAAATTGTATCCTGATGTCAACAGCAGATGGGAGTTGTATTAATAACATGGCTAACTTAGCTAGCTAACATACATTTCGATAAAAATGGCTAGCTAGCTAGTGTTAGCAAAGTTGGGTGGTCAATGAGACTGAAAGCTAGCTAAACTAGCAAACAATGTAACAAAAGTATAATTTCAGATTTGAAAAATACTCCAACAGGCTCTTCATTTCAGGAATTACAGTATCCCTGGTGCACTGTTCAATTATTTAACCAATTGCCCTCACTGGCTTACATGTGTTTCAGATGTGTTGAATGGTTTTCTGAACACAGAGCTGATTATGTTAGCAAGCTTCTATTTGAAAGCTAATGTGCACATTCATGCAGACGCGCATAGTAATACATCACCCGTGTCACGCCGTGTACAATGTACAGTCCATTTGAAAGTAAGTAATAAAAGTGACAAAGTATTTGCTGTTTCAGGACCTGGCTCATGGGCTTGGAGAGCTGCTCTGCTATGAGGGCAATGTGGAGGAAGACTTCTATCTGACCTTCCAGGTATGGACCTCTCCTATGTATTAACAGTGCAAGGGCAACAGTACACCTATTGAACAGGACACATTGAACAGGACAAGTTCACCACCAACAGTGCAAGGGCAACAGTACACCTATTGAACAGGACACATTGAACAGGACAAATTCACCACCAAATTGCCCCAGTGAGAAATATGGAATTAAAAAGTTAAAATGTACATGGATCTTAAATTTAAAAAAGGATCTTATGCCAATTAGTTTGGCTAAAGTGTTCCCCAAAACTTCAGAGCATTTTGCCCTAGCAAGGTTTTTATTACAGACTCCATCAGATGACCGTGAGGTGTTTAATGATTTAAAGAGTGACTCCGTTACATGACTTCATCAGTTCAGTATTAGACTATGTTTGTTAATAGGTGATGTGTCACTGGTAATAGGGCTACGTGTCAGTGCGTGGGTATGGAGGGCCTGAAGGCTGTGGAGATGCATTCTCTCACGCCCTCCTCAAGACTAACACTCCAGTGTGAAAAGCAGTGACTATCACTGTGTCCAAATTGCCATTGGAAGGAGTGGGATCTGGGCAAGGCTTTGAGTTTGGTCATTAGTAATCATGAAACTTAAAGATGGAATCTGCAGTAGCGGTATAAAAACGTCAGAGGTCAAAATCAAAACAGTCAGCACTCTTATCAGTCTATCACCACTAATCATGAGTTAAGTGGTCACATCTCTGAACTATTATAAAAATGTGCATTTTGGCCTCTGAGTCGAGACCCAAGGTTTCAGGGTCTTTCACCCTTTTACTGAGGCAGAAGTATACTCACTGAACCGTATTCAGTTCACGCCCATCATCATCCATTACCCCTCTGTATGCTATATCTATAGACGTATATCACATCATATAGACATACACTCAGTGGCCAGTTTATTTCATGAAAATGGTTCGCTCATACAAACCGTGGCCGTGGCTTGCTGTTCGATTGAAAGTTAGAATGGGCAAAACGAGTGACCTAAGCCTCTTTGACCGTGGTATAATCATCAGTGCCAGGCGCGCCGGTTCCAGTATCTCAGAAACGGCCGGCCTCCTGGGCTTTTCACACACGACAGTGTCTAGGGCCCTCAAACTCAACCCTTGACCTCGAAGCCAGTTCCACTGTGTTTTTTCATTGTTGCCTTCTAATCAGGGACTGATTTTAGACCTGGGAAAACCAGGTGGGTGCAAATAATTGTCAGGTAGAACAGAAAAACAGCAGGCTCCGGACCTGTTGAATACCCCTGGTCTAGGGTTTACCAAAAATGGTGCGACCAAAAACATCCAGTCAGCGGCAGTCCTGTGGGCGAAAACAGCTCGTTGATGAGCGGTCGAAGGAGAATGGCAAGAATTGTGCAAGCTAACAGGCGGGCCACAAACAGGCAAACAAAGCTGCAGGTACAACAGTGGTGTGTAGAACGGCATCTCGGAACAACTCATTGGTCCTTGTCACGGATGGGCTATTGCAGCTGACGATCACACTGGGTTCCACTCCTATCAGCTAAAAACAAGAAGAAGCGTCTCCAGTGGGCACGCGATCAGCAACACTGGACAATTAAGGAGTGGAAAAACATTGCCTTGTCTGACGAATCCCGGTTCCTGTTGCGTCATACTGATGGCAGAGTCAAGATTTGGCGTAAGCTGCATGAGTCCATGGCCCAATCCTACCTGGTGTCAATGGTACAGGCTGGTGGGGTTGGTGTAATGGTGTGGGGAATATTTTCCTGGCACACGTTAGGTTCCTTGGTACCAATTGAGTAATGATTCCATGCCCTGAATAATTCAGGCTGTTCTTGAGGCAAAGGGGTCCAACCCGGTACTAGATGGGTGTACCTAATAAACTGGGCACTGAGTGCATATCATAGACATATATCATATCATATAGACATATATCATATAGACATATACAGTGCCTTCAGAAAGTATTCATACCCCTTGACTTATTCCACATTTTGTTGTGTTACAGCCTGAATTCAAAATGGGATTAAATAGATTTGTTTTTTCTCACCCAGCTACACATAATTCCCCATAATGACAAAGTGAAAACATGTTTTTAGAAATTGTAGCAAATGTATTGCAAATTAAATACAGAAATATCTAATTTACATAGGTATTCACACCCCTAAGTCAATACTTTGTAGAAGCACCTTTGGCGGTGATTACAGCTTTGAGTCGTCTTGGGTATGTCTGCATCAGCTTTGCACATCTGGATTTTGGGATTTTCTCCTATTCTTCCTTGCAGATTTTCTCAAGCTCTGTTAAATTAGATGGGGAGCAGCGGTGAATAGCAATCTTCAAGTCTTTCCACAGATTTTCAATGGTATTCAAGTCTGGGCTTTGGCTGTGCCACTCATGGACTTTCACATTCTTGTTCTGAAGCCATTCCAGCTTTGCTTTGGCTGTATGCTTGGGGTCATTGTCCTGTTGGAAGGTAAATCTTCACCCCCCCCCAGTCTAAGGTTGTTTACACTCTGAAGCAGGTTCTCATCAATGATTTGCCTGTATTTCGCTCCATTCGTTGTTCCCTCTATCCTTACCAGTCTCCCAGTCCCTGCTGCTGAAAAGCATCCCCATAGCATGATGCTGCCACCACCATGCTTCACGGTAGGGGTGGTGTGCAAAGCTGTCATCAAGGCAAAGGGTGGCTACTTTGAAGAATCTCAAATATAAAATATATTTTGATTTGTTTAACACGTTTTTGTTTACTACATGATTCCATATGTGTTATTTAATAGTTTTGATGTTTTCCGTAGTATTGTACAATGAATGAGTAGGTGTGTCCAAACTTTTGACAGGTGCTGTATGTGAATTAGATATTTCTGTATTTCGTTTTCAATCAATTTGCAAAAATTGCTAAGCATGTTTTCACTTTGTCGTTATGGGGTATTGTGTGTAGGTGGGTGAGATAAAAAAAAAATGTAATCCATTTTGAATTCAGGGTGTAACACAACAAAATGTGGAATAAGTCAAAGGGTATTAATACTTTCTGAAGGGACTGTATCATGTGTTCTATATCTATGTCTATATCCTTTATTCACCAGCTGAGTTCAACACCAGAACAAATACATCATCTATACCACTGGTTTCTGATTACAGTAGGCTATTTTTAAGCCCACACGTTTACCGTAAGTGAATGTTGACCATAAACTAATATAAGCTTTGGCCTTTCTCAGGAAATCCACTCTCTTCATTTTAAGATAATGAATGTATCATTGTATCTAGGTTTTCCAAGAGGAGCTCGGGGTGGTCAGGTCCTATAACCTGAAACCTGGAGGTGACAAGATCCCAGTCAACAAACAGAACAGAAAGGGTGAGTAGGCCTATACTGTAGGTTAATAATAATAATAATAAAATAATATGCCATTTAGCAGATGCTTTTATCCAAAGCGACTTACAGTATAGGCCTATGTGTGCATACATTTTTACGTATGGGTGGTCCCGGGGATCGAACCCACTACCCTGGCGTTACAAGCGCCATGCTCTACCAATTGAGCTACAGAGGACCACAGGTTAACATATGAAGGGTAGACATACATGTACAGGACCACAGCATGTGCTTTGGTTTGTTCCATCCCATCTCTAACACAGCTGATTCAACGAATCAACAAGTCATGGTCGTCAATTTAGACCACACAACAATAAAATCACACTTGGGCCCTCCAGAACTACATTTCTGTTAGAAAATCAGAGACGTGCCATTCACTTGCAGCTAATTCCCCTTAGTGTGTATTTGTCTGTTCCCCATGTTATGTGACAATGCTCCTCTACCTAATGCCTAGTCACCTTACCCTTATACATACAGTACATTCGGAAAGTATTCAGACCCCTTGACTTTTTCCACATTTTGTTACCTTACAGCCTTATTCTAAAATGGATTAGTTTTTTTTCCCCCTCATCAATCTACACACAATACCCCATAATGACAAAGCAAAAACAGGTTTTTAGACATTTTTGCAAATTTATTAAAAAGAATAAACGGAAATATCACATTTACGTAAGTATTCAGACCCTTTACTCAGTACTTTGTTGAAGCACCTTTGGCAGCGATTACAGCCTCAAGTCTTCTTGGGTATGACGCTACAAGCTTGGCACACCTGTATTTGGGGAGTTTCTCCCATTCTTCTCTGCAGATCCTCTCAAGCACTGTCAGGTTGGATGGGGAGCGTTGCTGCACAGCTAAATTTCAGGTCTCTCCAGATATGTTTGATCGGGTTCAAGTCCAGGCTCTGGATGGGCCACTCATGTTGGAAGGTGAATCTTTGCCCAAGTCTGAGGTCCTGAGCGCTCTGGAGCAGGTTTTCATCAAAGATTTCTCTGTACTTTGCTCCGTTCATCTTTCCCTCGATCCTGACTAGTCTCCCAGTACCTGCCGCTGAAAAACATCCCCACAGCATGATGCTGCCACCACCATGCTTCACCGTAGGGATTGTGCCAGGTTTCCTCTAGATGTGACGCTTGGCATTCAAGCCAAAGATTTTAATCTTGGTTTCATCAGACCAGAGAATCTTGTTTCTCATGGTCTGAGAGTCCTTTAGGTACCTTTTGGCAAACTCCAAGTGGGCTGTCGTGTGCCTTTTTTACTGAGGAGTGGCTTCTGTCTGGCCACTCTACCATAAAGGCCTGATTGGTGGAGTGCTGCAGAGATGGTTGTCCTTCTGGAAGGTTCTCCCATCTCCACAGAGGAACTCTGGAGCTCTGTCAGAGTGACCATCGGGTTCTTGGTCACCTCCCTGAACAAGGCCCTTCTCCCCAGATTGCTCAGTTTGGTTGGGCGGCCAGCTCTAGGAAGAGCCTTGGTGGTTCCAAACTTCTTCCATTTAAGAATGATGGAGGCCACTGTGTTCTTGGGGACCTTCAATACTGCAGACATTTTTTGGTTCCCTTTCCCAGAACTGTGCCTCAACACAATCCTGTCTCTGAGCTCTACGGACAATTCCTTCGACCTCATGGCTTGGTTTTTGCTCTGACATGCACTGTCAACTGTGGGACCTTATATAGACAGGTGTGTGCCTTTCCAAATCATGTCCAATCAATTGAATTTACCACAGGCGGACTCCAATCAAGTTGTAGAAACATCTCAAGGATGATCAATGGGTCTGAATACTTATGTAAATAAGGTATTTCTGTTTTTTATTTTTTATAAATGTGTAAACCTTTCTAAAAACCTGTTTTTGCTTTGTCATTATGGGGTATTGTGTTTAGATTGATGAGGGGGAAAAACGATTTAATCAATTCTAGAATAAGGCTGTAACATAACAAAATGTGGAAAAAGTCAAGGGGTCTGAATACTTTCCCAATGCACTGTATCTACCTCTATCACTCCAGTATCCCTGCACATTGTTAATATGGTATTGGAACTGACCCTGTATATAGCTTCTTACTTTGTTGTGTTCTTATTTTTATTTCTCGTATGTTTTTGTTCTACCTTATGTTATTTTTAGTACTACATTGATATTGATTACTGCATTGTTGGGTTTGGAGCTTTAAGAAAGGCATTTCACTGTACTTGTGCACGTGACATTGAAACTTAACTTGAAAACTGAAACTTGTGTTTGAGTATGTGTCTCTATTTGTGGGCGCGTGAGTGATTTTTATAATTTTTTGTTTATTTCTCTGCAGAATATGTTCAGCTGTACGCTGATTTCCTGCTTAATAAGTCAGTTTACAAGCAGTTTGCAGCCTTCTATCGTGGTTTCCACAGTGTGTGTGCGTCAGACGCTCTGATGGTGAGTCAGGACTTCTCTGGGCTTTCTGTGGGGGTGGGGTTAAGGTCGGCTCGGCTCTCAGGTTCTTGGAGGTTTTTAAGATTGTAAAGTTCGATAAGCTATTTACATCACTGTGGTCAGAAAACCTCCAGATGAATGTTCTGATACAGGTTTTATAGTAAAAGGATGAGAGAAGCTAATATCAATATGTGTACCTCACAGGAGGCTGGTGAGGGGAGAATGGCTCATAATAATGGTTGGAATGGAATTAATGGAGTGGTATCAAACACATACACAATTGTATGAATGAGTCCCTCTTGACTGTTAATGTAAATATACACAACTTCTACCCACCTGCCCCCTCCTGTTCCCCATGATCCTCTCTCCTGGATTATAAATTGCACTGACTGACATTGCTCACATACTGTAGCCCCCCTATATTGCAACACAGGGCCATTTTAAGTGGGTCAAGAATAGAAGTGATGAGTTGATGAGTCATTCAGAAAGACTATAAGGATTAGGGCCTCCTGGGAAGAATGTGTTTACTTATCTAGTTACTGCAGCACAAATCTAACACAGCTGACTACCGTTGTATACTGATCAGCCAGAGACACAGAACAGCTTATGTTCTCCCTGGCCCAGACTTGGCCAGCGGGGTAGCCTCATATGGCTTTTGGAGTGGTGGGGTGACACTTGTGTCTCTCATGGGCTGTTGCCCTTTGACAGTGGCCATAGATGGATATCATTAGGGGTGAAAGTAAGCTGGAACGGTCCGGTACGGAGTACCGGCAAAATAAATAGTGGGGTACACCGTACCGGTAAAACATGAGCCTATCACAATAATTCAAACATAGATTCCAAGCAAAATGTAGGCTATTAAACTCTTCATCATTACCGCATGTCAAGTCGCATGAAAAATGTGGAAGTAGACTCCAAAATGCAGTGTGGTTCGAAGATAACAGCACAGAAATGTTGCCATGGCAGAGATGAGTGGCCAAGACCGAGAAACCCGTGACATCAGTGACATCAGTGTATGCATCAATTCAGGTTACAAGACTTGTGTAGGCCGAATGATGACAATCACCGAATGTCATTCATAACACTTTTTGGTGTTTTGTAAGTGATGACTCTTTGCATTTATCAAATGCCATTGTATTGATGCTGGAATTATTTTAGAGTGGAGTAGCCTCATAGTTGGAATAGTAACTGAAGTCTGGACACTGACTGTAGGCCTCACATATAGCCTATTATAATATTAACTCCAGCAGAATCAAGTGTTCCTCGCAGTAAAATGATAGACCAAAAGTGAATTATGTCTCGGGAACAGGAGTGGAGAAATATATATATATATATATATATATATATATATATTTTGTTTCAGCATCTTGAGAGAATGCAAATGCAAGCTAAGGGACTTGTTGTGTAGCCTAAACATGCAATTTCATTCAGCGACATAAAAGCTGACAGTATTTCATTTTCAACCACGTAATATATGCATCCAAGACTAACTGAAATACTATTAGAAACATGTTGGATCTTTTTCACAGCTTTTAATTTCCTTCAAACCAGTCAAACTGATCGCTCTGGTCCCTAAACGTCCTCGCTCCGTGAGAGAAGCAGAAATGAAAGAGAGAACTTTACCAATGTCAACTAGATTGTTGATGATGCATTGATCATTCTATCAATTTATGGAATTATTCTGGTGAGCAAGGCTTTATTTAGTATTCTAGACGAGCATCAAGTAATGACAGAAGAGAAGCTGCATGTATAGTGCCTTCGGAAAGTATTCTGACACCTTGACTTTTTCCACATTTTGTTACATTACAGCCTTATTCTAAAATGGATTAAATAAAAACATTTCCTCAGCAATCTACACACAATACCCCATAATGACAAAGCGAAAACTGGTTCTTAGAAGAAAAAAAAGAAATACCTTATTTACATTATTCAGACCCTTTGCTATGAGACTCGAAAATTGAGCTCAGGTGCATCCTGTTTTCCATTGATCATCCTTGAGATGTTTCTACAACTTGATTGGAGTCCACCTGTGGTAAATTCAATTGATTGGACATGATTTGGAAAGGCACACACCTGTCTAAGGTACCATAGTTTACAGTGCATGTTAGAGCAAAAACCAAGCCATGAGGTCGAATGAATTGTCTGTAGAGCTCCGAGACAGGATTGTGTTGAGGCACAGATCTGGGGAAGGGTACCAAAAAATGTCTGCAGCATTGAAGGTCCCCAAGAACACAGTGGCCTCCATCATTCTTAAATGGAAAAAGTTTGGAACGACCAAGACTCTTCCTAGAGCTGGCCGCCCGACCAAACTGAGCAATCGGGGGAGAAGGGCCTTGTTCAGGGAGGTGACCAAGAACCCGATGGTCACTCTGACAGAGCTCTAGAGTTCCTCTGTGGAGATGGGAGAACCTTCCCGAAGGACAACCATCTCTGCAGCACTCCACCAATCAGGCCTTTATGGTGGAGTGGCCAGACGGAAGCCACTCCTCAGTAAAATGCACATGACAGCCTCTTGGAGTTTTCCAAAAGGCACCTAAAGACTCTCAGACCATGAGAAACAAGATTCTCTGATCTGATGAAACCAAGAATGAACTCTTTGGCCTGAATTCCAAGCGTCACGTCAGGAGGAAACCTGGCACCATCCCTACGGTGAAGCATGGTGGTGGCAGCATCATGCTGTGGGGATGTTTTTCAGTGGCAGGGACTGGGAGACTAGTCAGGATCAAGGGAAAGATGAACGGAGGAAAGTACAGAGATCCTTAATGAAAACCTGCTCCAGATCACTCAGGACCTCAGACTGGGACGAGGTTCACCTTCCAACAGGACAACGACCCTAAGCACACAGCTAAGACAACGTAGGAGTGGCTTCGGGACAAGCCTCTGAATGTCCTTGAGTGGCCCATCCAGATCCTGGACTTGAACCCGATCTCTGGAAAGACCTGAAAATAGCTGTGCAGCAACTCTCCCCATCCAACCTGACACAGCTTGAGAGGATATGCAGAGAAGAATGGGAGAAATTCCCCAAATACAGGTGTGCCAAGCTTGTAGCATCATACCCAAGAAGACTTGAGGCTGTAATCGCTGCCAAATGTGCTTCAACAAAGTACTGAGTAAAGGGTATTTGTTATTATGGGGTATTGTGTGTAGATTGATGAGGGAAAAAAATATTTTTTTTAGAATAAGGCTGTAAATGTCAAAAGTCAAAGGGTCTGAATACTTTCCGAAGGCACTGAATCTACTGTAATTATAGACAAGTTGACTAACATAAAGCTTACCAAATGTCGGAAATTATAAGCAGAAAAATATCTAAATGAGGCTTAAAATATATTTTTTCCTGCACTGCCTGTCTTTCCGCCGTCCCGGAGTAACGTGCCTAGGTAGCCTACATGAGCCTTTTGACGTAATTGTATGACAATCAGATGAAAACATCATGACTGCTGGCATTTCCTGCATTGCAGGACAGTTCTGCTAAAGCAGGGTGATCAAATTAAGATCCTACATCTGTATGGTAACACACACTGAGTTAAGTAAGATCATTGTTAATATTGGTGGAACTCCAAGATCTGTGGCTGGGTGACTGTGTTCAATATTGGTCTGTCCACAAGTGTACACACAAACACACACACACACACACACTGTGGGTAGGGTCTACACCCTGAAGAGTTACTGTATGTCTGAGCCAATCCTAAATTAGACAAGATCAAATATTTGAGTTTAGGCTCTTGCCAAACTTTACATTACCACCAAGATGTATGGTCATGTATAAAAAAAATAAAAAATAAAAAAAATATATATATAAAAAAAATATATATATATGCTAATCACTGTGAAACACACATTGTAGGCCACAATGAATGTATGCACATGGACTCAAACACAATATTGATAGACAAGATAAAGCACTGAACTTTATAAGATCTCATCATATGTATTGTTGGCATTGTCAGCATATCCCTCAGGTCTGGGACCTAATCAGAGCTCTGTGCTCAGCTGTGTGATATAAATCCCTCATCTAAAGCTGTGTCTCAAACTAAGCCCTGGATGCACAGTCCATTATGTGATGTTACTGAATTACAGTAGGCATAATATGAAACTGTGTTATGACTATATCACAGGAAGTTGGTGGCACCTAAATTGGGGAGGACGGTCTCGTGGTAATGGCTGGAGCAGAATTAGTGGAATGGTATCAAATACATCAAACGTATGGTTTCCATGTGTTTGATTCCATTCGCTCCGTTCTAGACATTATTATGAGTCGTCCTCCCCTCACCAGCCTCCTGTGGTTTATACTATAGGGCACTCATTAGTGATGTTGTGGTTGTGCAGCTGCTGAGGCCAGAGGAGGTGGAGATGCTGGTGTGTGGGAGTCCAGAGCTGGACATGAGCGCCCTGCAGAGAGCAGCTCAGTACGAGGGCTACAGCAAAGCTGACCTCACAGTACGGTAAGGGTCATGCACACAAAACACCCAGTGCACCCAATCTATACAACTATTCATACCTTTTTCATCTTTCACCTGGCCAACAACCCCTGATCCTGCTGGAGTACAAGTATCCAATATCACAAATCCTACAGCAACAAGCCATTATGACAGACCCATGCAGTGCTATAGGGCCTTTAACTCTGTTGGAGGAACCTAGAGCTGAACTCTTCACCACCTCCACTCTCTGGATCCCTGCAGCCAGCCAGTGCCCCCTTACAGCTTTATGTTGCACCGCTCCCTTCCAGGCCTGTTTACTCCAGCTGCACCCCCCTCCCCCTTTCCTATTACACAAGTCTATGTAATGTCATGCAACATAAAAACATATGTTCTCAAGCAGCTGTAGTTCATGCTCCATTTCATGTAATGGGGAGTGATGTTACATCAGCCTTCTAAATGTAGGACTTGACACGCTGCCATAACAGAAAAGTCAGGTAGCTTAGTGGGCGGCAGGTAGCTTAGTGGGTAAGAGCGTTGTGTCAGTAACCAAAAGGTCGCTGGTTCTAATCCCCGAGCCAACTAGGTGAAAAATCTGTCTGTGCCCTTAAGCAAGGCACTTAACCCTAATTGCTCCTGTAAGTTGCTCTGGAGAAGAGCGTCTGCTAAATCACCAAAAAAATAAAATAATTGGCTGTGTGTGTGTGTGTTTAGCTGTTTCTGGGACGTGGTGCTGGCTTTCCCCTTGGAGTTGCAGAAGAAGCTGCTCCACTTCGCCACAGGAAGTGACCGTGTCCCCGTGGGAGGGTTGGCCGACCTTAACTTCAAGATCGCCAAGATCGACGTTTCCACTGACTGGTACTGTACAGTCATCTCATCACTCATTGCCTCTTACTCTCACGTATATATCCAACCATATAGAACAATATCCAAACACAAAACATGACCAACTATTATATGTTGATTTAATTAACTAGTTGACTGCAAATGCTATATGTTGAGCATCATACAGTATTGCTACAGTATTGTAGAGTTTGAGTGGACCGATATTTAGTGGTGTCATTGTAATCTGTTATAATGTAGCCAGGCTTACTGCCATGGCAACAGAAGGGCCCTTACAGTAATTGTTTAGAGCTCCTTGCTGACAGGTTATCCTTGTCTGTTTCAGGTTACCCATATCTCACACCTGCTTCAACCAGATCTGCCTCCCACCTTATAAAAGCAGGAAGGAACTGAAGCAGAAGTTAACCATCGCCATCTCCAACGCAGAGGGCTTTGGCTTAGAGTGACTCAGTCTGCAGCTATTAGATTCACAGTAAGATGAGAGAAGGTGATTCCGCAAACTTTCCAGATGTGCTTTAGAATTACATTCCTCCAAAAATAGAATCTTATATAGACTACATGACCAAAAGTATGTGGACACCTGCTCATTGAACATCTCATCCCAAAATCATGGGCAACAATATGGATTTCGTCCCCCCTTTGCTGCTATAACAGCCTCCACTCTTCTGGGAAGGCTTTCCACTAGATGTTGGAACATTGCTGCGGGGACTTCCTTCCATTCAGCCAAGAGCATTAGTGAGGTCGGGCACTGATGTTGGGCGATTAGGCCTGGCTCGCAGTCGGCGTTCCAATTCATCCCAAAGGTGTTTGATGGGGTTGAGGTCATGGCTCTGTGCAGGTCAGTCAAGTTCTTCCACACCAATTTTGACAAAACATTTCTTTATGGACCTCGCTTTGTGCACGGGTGCATTGTCATGTTGAAACAGGAAAGGGCCTTCCCCAAACTGTTGCCACAAAATTGGAAGTACAGAATCGTCTTGAATGTCATCGTATGCTGTAGCGTTAAGATTTCCCTTCACTGGAACTAAGGGGCCTAGCCCGAACCATGAAAATCAGCCCCAGGCCATTATTTCTCCTCCACCAAACTTTACAGTTGGCACTATGCATTCCGGCAGGTAGTGTTCTCCTGGCATCCGCCAAACCCAGATTCGTCTGTCGGACTGCCAGAAGGTGAAGCGTGATTCATCACCCCAGAGAAAGTGTTTCCACTGCTTCAGAGTCCAAAGGCGTCGAGCTTTACACCACTCCAGCCGACGCTTGGCATTGCGCATGGTGATCATAGGCTTGTGTGCGGCTGCTCTGCCATGGAAACCCATTTCATGAAACTCCCGACGAACAGTTCTTGTGCTGACGTTGCACCTAGAGGCAGTTTGGAACTCGGTAGTGAGTGTTGCAACCGAGGACAGATGATTGTTACGCGCTTCAGCACTCGGCTGTCCCGTTCTGTGAGCTTGTGTGGCCACTCATTTGAAGGGGTGTCCACATACTTTTGTGTATATAGTGTATTTTTGTGAGGTCAAAATGTGTATTTTCTTAGCTTGATTTGTAGTACACTGTTATAAATATTCAAAACTAAGGCTTTGCTGGTTAAAGAATGTTACCTGTGTTATGAGATCTAGATTGTTTTGTGAGGTGCTAGATATGTATTTGACATTGCTGCCTGTTGAAGGGCACAGCAGAATCTTTCACTTGTTTGATAGTAATAAGAAATGTGAGCTCCTGTAGCAGTGGGACCATGACTGTCTGGTTGTGTGTTTGTTTATCTCTCTGACTATTAAGGTAAGTAGCTTTGTGGCCTTATTTCTGCCTGCCTGTTAGACTGCCAATGTAAAGAGAAACCTTTGGTCAGAAACGTTTAGCAGGATCTTTGGTTAAACAAAGCATTATCAACATAAATCTGAAAAGTAAAGGCACACACATTAGCGTTATCATTTAAACAAACAGGATTAAATGTAAGTCAAACCCAGATTGGTTGGGTAATTCAGTAACTACACGCCATCCTGCCTTCAACGACTTTCAGGAAGCTAATAATAGATGTTTGATACATTTATCATAGAAGTAGCCTGTGACTATGAAAGCATCTATTTCTAAGACTGATAGACTTTATCAGAACTCTTCAACTCGTTGGTTCACTAATCTACACTAATCTGCCTATAGAACTGAATCTATCACTTTCTTGTTTTACAAAGTCAAATGTCATATAGTCTGTCACATTCATTCATAGTAATGCATGTTCTATTCCGACTGTAGAGCTACACAGACTGTACAAAACATTAGGAACACCTGCTGTTACCATGACAATGACTGACCAGGTGAAAGCTATGATCCCTTATTGATGTCACCTGTTAAATCCACTTAAATCAGTGTAGATGAAGGGGAGGAGACAGGTTAAATAAGGATTTTTAAGCCTTGAGACATGGATTGTGTATGTGTGCCATTCAGAGGGTAAATGGGCAAGACAAAAGATTTAAGAGCTTTTGAACGGGGTATGGTAGTAGGTGCCAGGCGCACCCGTTTGAGTGTCAAAAACTGCGACGCTGCTGGGTTTTTCACGCTCAACAGTTTCCTGTGTGTATCAAGAATGGTCCACCACCCAAAGGACATCTAGCCAACTTGGCACAACTCTGGGAAGCATTGGAGTCAACATGAGCCAGCATCCCTGTAGAATGCTTTCGACACCTTGTAGAGTCCATGCCCCAACGAATTGAGGCTGTTCTGAGGGCAAAAGGGGGTGCAACTCAATATTAGGAAGGTGTTCTTAATGTTTTGTACACTCAGTGTTTGATGTATATCTGTAGACAGTCTATGATGAGTCATCTGGTTACAGTTCAGATGTGTAATGTAACTGTTGATGATGTTATGTTGCGTTTCTATTTATTTGTGAAAATTACTGTCTAGTCCCAAGTAATAAACTTCTCTTTTTGAGGTTTCTACACTCGGAAATGAAGTTATCTGTGTCTGATGGAAAATCTTTTGTTTTGAATCTGGACGATCCGACAATGTGTGCCGGGCCAGGTTAAATGTCCAAGGTTCCATTTGGCAAAATCTCTGAGGTGTTATCGGGCGTCTGTTTTGAAAAACAGATGTTGTAATTGGTTTAACTGTGTCAGCTGTGGCTCCATCCAAGTTAATACTCCATATCAGTATTTCAGCCTCACACAACCATATCTGAGTTCGAACTATAGCCCCACAAGCCAGAATGTAACAGGTCAAAATGGCCTGCCTGAAGAGGAGGAGCACAGAGGACTTGACACCCTGGCAGAGGGGTAGACGAACAAGTTGTAATTTTCAGGAATGCCTACTAGGTCAGGTGCTGCAGTCTGACAGCTGACTGATACACATCCAGGGCCATAGGCCACAGAAGCGTCATTAAAGGCCCAGTGCAGTCGTCAACTTAATTTTCCTGTGTTTTACAGTGGGGAAAAAAGTATTTAGTCAGCCACCAATTGTGCAAGTTCTCCCACTTAAAAAGATGAGAGAGGCCTGTAATTTTCATCATAGGTACACGTCGACTATGACAGACAAAATGAGATTTTTTTTTTCTCCAGAAAATCACATTGTAGGTTTTTTTAATGAATTTATTTGCAAATGATGGTGGAAAATAAGTATTTGGTCAATAACAAAAGTTTCTCAATACTTTGTTATATACCCTTTGTTGGCAATGACACAGGTCAAACGTTTTCTGTAAGTCTTCACAAGGTTTTCACACACTGTTGCTGGTATTTTGGCCCATTCCTCCATGCAGATATCCTCTAGAGCAGTGATGTTTTGGGGCTGTCGCTGGGCAACACAGACTTTCAACTCCCTCCAAAGATTTTCTATGGGGTTGAGATCTGGAGACTGGCTAGGCCACTCCAGGACCTTGAAATGCTTCTTACGAAGCCACTCCTTCGTTGCCCGGGCGGTGTGTTTGGGATCATTGTCATGCTGAAAGACCCAGCCACGTTTCATCTTCAATGCCCTTGCTGATGGAAGGAGGTTTTCACTCAAAATCTCACGATACATGGCCCCATTCATTCTTTCCTTTACACGGATCAGTCGTCCTGGTCCCTTTGCAGAAAAACAGCCCCAAAGCATGATGTTTCCACCCCCATGCTTCACAGTAGGTATGGTGTTCTTTGGATGCAACTCAGCATTCTTTGTCCTCCAAACACGACGAGTTGAGTTTTTACCAAAAAGTTATATTGGACCATATGACATTATCCCAATCCTCTTCTGGATCATCCAAATGCACTCTAGCAAACTTCAGACGGGCCTGGACATGTACTGGCTTAAGCAGGGGGACACGTCTGGCACTGCATGATTTGAGTCCCTGGCGGCGTAGTGTGTTACTGATGGTAGGCTTTGTTACTTTGGTCCCAGCTCTCTGCAGGTCATTCACTAGGTCCCCCCGTGTGGTTCTGGGATTTTTGCTCACCGTTCTTGTGATCATTTTGACCCCACAGGGTGAGATCTTGCGTGGAGCCCCAGATCGAGGGAGATTATCAGTGGTCTCTTATGTCTTTCATTTCCTAATAATTGCTCCCACAGTTGATTTCTTCAAACCAAGCTGCTTACCTATTGCAGATTCAGTCTTCCCAGCCTGGTGCAGGTCTACAATTTTGTTTCTGGTGTCCTTTGACAGCTCTTTGGTCTTGGCCATAGTGGAGTTTGGAGTGTGACTGTTTGAGGTTGTGGACAGGTGTCTTTTATACTGATAACAAGTTCAAACAGGTGCCATTAATACAGGTAACGAGTGGAGGACAGAGGAGCCTCTTAAAGAAGAAGTTACAGGTCTGTGAGAGCCAGAAATCTTGCTTGTTTGTAGGTGACCAAATACTTATTTTCCACCATAATTTGCAAATAAATTCATTAAAAATCCTACAATGTGATTTTCTCGAAAAAAAATTACAGGCCTCTCTCATCTTTTTAAGTGGGAGAACTTGCACAATTGGTGGCTGACTAAATACTTTTTTCCCCACTGTATATATATTTCCATAGTATGAGGTTGGAATAATACTACAAAATTGTGAAAATAATGCCCCTTTAGTGTAAGAGCTGTTTGAAAAGACTACCTGGAATTTCAGACTGTTTTGGTGGGATGAAGTTTTGACATCACCAGGCAGTAAATTAGTTAATAGACCAATAAGAAAGAGTTCCAAACCTCTCTGCCAATAACAACTCGTTTTCAGTTTTCCCCTCCCCACTCAGACCACTCACAGAGAGTCCAAGCAAAGTTCTTGCTTGAGAAGTTGCTGTTTGCTAAGAAGCTATTTTTGTTTCTTTTCGACCATTTTAATTGAAAACAATCACAGTAAGGTACTTAATTGTTACCCAGAAATTATTTGATATTGAGATAAAAATGGCTGCATTGGACCTTTAAAACATGTTGAGTGGCTTGTAAACCAGTGTTGTGTATATAGAAAGAGAAAGAGTGATCGAAAGGGAGAGAGCGATGGGCTGCAGAAGAGTATGTCCCTGCAGCCTAAATCAAGTGTACCAGAATAGGAACCATCTGTGTTTACAGTGTGACCTTGGGAAATGAGCCAGACAGCAGTGGGATTAATCATTAACACGTTAGGGTGCATTGTTTTA